TCACTCACTCTGCCCATGGTCCTGTTATGGGATTTTGACTTACAGCTAGGATATTCTGCAAAAGAGCTTCAGATGATCCATTATGAGGGAGAAGTTCAAAAGAGTCAATGGTGGTGTGGGAACCTGACTGTGCTTGCCACAATGAGTGCAGGGGAAATTTATTAAGTTCTTACACGATGCTTTCTACCTAGGGTGAGATGCTACCACCACTACAGCACATAGTAACCCAGGTCTATAAGATGTGTCCTGTCTGTGCACTTATTCTCCCCCATTGCTTGAGCTGGTATAAAGTTGTGGGTCCTTCCTTAGAGAAGACTGGCAAATAGACTTTACCCATATACCTAAGTGTAAAGGGCACGCACAACTGCTGGTGTGCATTGATATCTTTACTGGGTGGATAGAGACCTTCCCTAACAGGTCAAAACAGACTTTGGAGGTGGGAAAAGTCTTCCTCAGTTTGGACTGCCCAGATCTATCCAGACTGATAATGGACACCCTTTTATATTCTAAATCATGCAGGGAATTGCCAAAGCATGGAATTAAGTACCATCTTCACACTGCATGGAGAGCCCAGTCATCAGGAAAAGTCAAGAGAGCCAATCAAACTCTCAAGAAAAACCATAGCCAAGCTATGTCAAGAAACCCCCCATAAGTGGCTGGATATCCTTCCAATTGCATTAGTGAAGCTTTGTCCCCTGACCTCCCAAGTCCAAACTTAATCTCAGGATATTTGAAATGCTTTTTGAGAGACCTTTTTTGATACCTGATTTATTTACTAACACTGAAACTTTCTACGTCTTTCAACATGTGACCCATCTGAGAACTTCTTAATTGGCCCTTCAGAAATATGGAAGTAAGACTCTTCCTCTCACAGAGATTAACAGTTATTGTCAGCCCAATGCCTGCTCTAGTGATCAGTTCCCAATAAATACTTGCTAGGAAGGTGGACCCCAGGATCAACTCACACACAAATGGGAAGGTCCTTATGCAACTCTTCTAACCACTCCTCTGCTGTTAAAGTACAGAGAATAGATAGTTGGATTCACTTCTCCAGGGTAAAATCTAAGCTGCCTGAGACACCAGAAAGGGAAAAAGAGAGAGTATAAACTTCATATACCTGTGAACAAGTGGGCAACCTCAAGCTTCTTTTCAGAAAAGGAAAGACCAGCCACCAGGTATAGTGGTGCATGCCTATAATCCCAGACTCGGAGGCTGAGACAGGAGGACCACTGTGAGTTCAAGGTCAGCCTGGGCCACAAAGTGAGTTCAAGCCAACCTGAGCTTCATAGTGAAATCCTGTCTCAAAAAGACCAAAGGAGAAAGAAAGAAAGAAAGAAAGAAAGAAAGAAAGAAAGAAAGAAAGAAAGAAAGAAAAAAGTTATCCAGGTTAAAAAAAATACCAAGCACTTTGTTAACCAGTTGAACTTTTATTCCAAGTAAATTGTGTGGGTAGTCTTGCTACTTTCTGTTTACTACACTTGAGGTCCCTATGCCAAGTTATAACATGACTTCTTTTGGTCTTTTTCTGTTTCTTTTGGGATCCTCCTAGGTGATTTGCAAATTGCCTCAAGTAGAGATAATGAACAGTGATTATTTGCATAAGACATTAAGGCTAATCACATCTTTCTCCTATCATAAGCAGCTACTTAAGAACTTGACAGAGAGCCTAGATGAACTTATCCATTGTGTGGGCCATTACTACATATCAAAAGCTTATTTAATTGAATGTTGTAGGTATTTTTGTCTGGAACTTGGGATGAATTTTCACATGAAAGAATGCTAAGTATTTGTTGCAGTAAGTGCATCGAGCTATATGTAACTATAATTGGCAGCGGCTTAAACCACATGATATACATATGTGGTTTACTTAAGGAGTCTGGAAGTAGGCAGTACAACCAGTAATTCATGCAAGTCCATGCTTCCTCTCCACTGTCCTCAGCATTCTGGTCTTTCATGGTGCTTATCACCTTCTGAGTTGTAGATGGTTGCCAATGTGCCTGGCAGCATGTTCTTGTGCCCATATCTCAAGTGAGACTTGTCTTTCTTGCCAATGGGAAGCCCCCTCACATCTCATTGACCATGACAGGATGATGCCAATCCCTAGACCAGTCACTGGGGAAGAGGAGTAAGATGACCATGGAATGATCCCTTTGGAGAAATCATGCTGCACTCATTAAAGAGGCCCAAGAGTGTACCTCTCCTCAAACCTAGGTGAATAGGGGGGTGACCTGCTATTGGATAGCAATCAGTAGTGCCACCTCAAGTTTAGCATATGTACTGCACAAAATTATTCCATGCATATTATCAGGTCATAGTGCATGAAACTAGAAATCAATGGCAAAAGAAACCACATAAACTATGCAATCATATGGAAATTAATAATACTCTCTTGAAAAATCAGTGGGTCGCAGATAAAATTAAAGAAGAAATTAGATGATCTACAATTAGTCAATAATGTCAGTATGACATATCAGAATGTATGTGATGGAATGAGAGCTATCCTAAGAGGGAAGTTCATAGCAGTGAATTCCCACTTCAGAAAAACAGAATGAGCTGAAATAAACAACCAAATATGCACCTCAAGGTCCTAGAAAAAACAAGAAAAATCCAAATCCAAAGCTAACACAAGGAAGGAATTATAAAGATCAGGGCAGAAATTCATGAAATTGAGACTAAAAAAAAAAACAATCCAAAGAATCAATGAATCAAAGAGCTGGTTCTTTGAAAGATTAAACAAATTAGACAAGTCCTTAGGTAATCCTACCCAAATAAGAAAAGACCCAAATCCATGCAATCAGAAATGAAAAAGGTGAAATCACAAAGGATTCTGCTAGAGCCCAGAAGATTATCAGTAGCTACTTTAAGAACTTGTATCAGGCTAATAATATCCCCTAGTTATTGTGGGCTGATCAGGTCTGCAATCTCCCAAAGAAGTGTACAGCAAAGGCTAAATAAAAAGAGATGAATGGAATGATTTCAGGGCTCCAGGGGGATCAAAGCCCTCTCATAGAACTCAAGATTCTCTCAAGGCTAACACCAAGACCTTCTCTGGGTGGCCCATATTCATTTGGTTATCAGAAGAAGGGAGGGCAGTACTCAAGAAAGGCAGAACCAGTCAGGGACTTCTCCAAGTAAGGTATTAAATTAATCCTTAATAAGGATTAAGTTAATCTGCCCAGGAGTGAGATGCCTGAGGCTATAGTCGTTATCTAGTTGAGACTGGAGGCTCTGTGGCAGGATGGATAGCACATTGGACTTCTAGTTGAGACTGGATCCAGGTGTCCTTGGCTGTGATCTTATCCTTTGAGGCTTTCTGGCTTCATCCACCATTACAGGTTTTAGTAGGTCACAGAGGTTCACTTACTATGAGTTCACTGCCCACTTCCAGACAAGTGGCCTAGGCTTTGGACAGATTCACAAGTAAACTTAAAAAGCCAATTGGTTAATTTAAGTCCTGCTTGGGTCTACTTCAGTCCTTTTTTTCTCTTTTTTTTGGTACCGGGAATTGAACTCAGGACCTTGCACTTGCCTGGCAGGCGCTTGTGCCACTGAGCTATATCCCTGCCCTTGGTTCCACTTCCTAGTCATCTCCATCAAACCTGTACTGTAATAAAATGGAAAACTCAGAGGAAATGGACAAATTCTTAGATACATGTGAAGCACCAAAACTGAACCAAGCTGGGTGTGGTGGTGCAGGCCTATAATCCCAGCACTTGGGATGCTGAGGCAGAACTATTGCTATGAATTCTAGGCCAGCCTGGGCTTCAAAGTGAGTTTAAAGCCTGCCTGAACTGCATAGTGAAACCCTGTCTAAAAAAAAAAAAAAAAAAAAAGCTGAACCAAGAAGATACAAAAATCCTGAATAAGCCAACATCAGTCAGTGAAACTGAAGAAGTACTTTTAAAAACCACCAACTAAGAACAGCCAGCTCCCCAGGGACTCACTACCAAATTGTAGGAGAACTTTAGAGAAGGTCTAATGCCAATACTCCTCAAAGTCTTTAAGGAAATCTAAAAGGAAGCAGTACTTCCAAAGTCATTCCTGGAAGCAAGCATTACCCTGACTCCAAAACCAGAAAAGGATCCAACCAAAAAAGAGAATTACAGGCCAACCTCTTTCATGAACATTTATGCAAAAATCCTTAATAAGATACTGGCAAACACAGTGCAGTAAATCATCAAAAAGACCATATATTATTCCCAAGTAGGATTCATTCCAGGAATGCAGGGATGGTTCAACATTTGCAAAGCAGTAAATGTAAACCACATAAACACCACATAAACAGAAGCAAGGACAAAAATCACATGATCATCTCGGTAGAGTCAGAAAAGCATATTGACAAAATTAATACACTTGTCTTTGTACTGACTGCAGTGCCTTCTTTCTTGGACCCTGTCAGTAGGTAATTTTGAATCTTTTAGTCTGAGAATCGATTCTGAGCATATTGTTAAATTGCAGATATTTAGAAGGATGGTTAGCAATTTACTGTGAAAAATTCAAGGACCTCTGTTGGTTTTTTTTGTGGTCACAGAGTGGAATTTACAAGTGTACACAAACCCCATTTGCTCCCTCACCCTGTAATATGGCTCAGGGAAACTAAAGTCACTGAAGATGAGCAAGCAGCAGATCACTTTTCTTGTCCCAGTCAAGGACTCATCTTGTGTCACTATGGGAACTCGCTCTATCAACATGCGCTTCATGGCCACACTGTTGCCAGGTTGTGTCTGTGTCCTGCAGGGGCCAAAGGGACCGTGGGAAGACGCCGTTCTAATGTAAAGAAAGCAGAGATTCTAATGACTCTGCAGTGTGAAGTACTGTAAGTGGGATCTCTTTTACTATTGTGAAAAGAGCAGATGGACCTCAGTTAGGCCCCGCGGTGCCTTCGCATTCTGTGTTGCCTAAGCGCCCAGCGTCCAGGCATCCCCGCCAGGGGGCTCGGCCCAGGTTCCAATGCCGACCTCCCGCCACAGGCGTCGCTGTGCGCTCGCGCGCTGCCCCGGAGCTGCGTTCCGTAGGGAACGGCGCTCGCGCCGACCAGGGGTTTCAGTTTCTGGCGCGAACTTCCGCCGTTCTGAAGTTGCCTGGCAAATTGGCGCGATGTCGGGGGACAGTAGCGGCCGCGGGCCGGAGGGCCGGGGTCGGGGTCGCGACCCGCACCGGGATCGCACCCGCTCTCGCTCTCGCTCGCGTTCCCCGCTGTCCAGCCGCGGCGCCGCGCCGGAGCGCCCGAGCTTCGATGACGACGAGCCGTCGGATTCTGGGGACGAGATGGTGGACCCGGCCACCCTGGAGGCCGAGACCGACTACGGCCTGTGCCGCCAGATTCGCCACCAGTACCGGGCGCTCATCAACTCGGTCCAACGTAAGGCGGCGCCTCGGGGCGGGCAGGGAGGGGCCTCAGGTGGGCAGGCGGCGCAGGCCGGGGGACGCGGGCTCGCGGCGGCCGAGCCTCATTTGTTTACAAAGTGCTCCTGCCCCAGTCCGCTCCCAGCGCATCCGAAGACCTGGGCGAAGAGCGCGCAGACCCCTGATGGGCGGGCTGGGAGAGCTGGAGGCCAGACCCAGTCTTTTCCTCGCCCGAGCTCAGCCAGTCGGGGAGAGCGCGATGCGGCCGCCCGCTGCTTTTCATTGCATTTAGCTTTTCTCTGGCTGGGCTCGCGGGCCCAGCAGCGACAGCATCCTCTGAAGACTGTCGGAAATGCAGTCTCCCACCCCGCCCGGACCCACCGAATCTGAAACGCTGCGAGGTGGGGCGTCTGTTCCGTGCTTTCTACGTGAACCTGTTGGTCGCAAAGTTTGAAAACTGCCCAGTTAACGGAGTCCTCTGAGGTGCAGGGGAGTGCAGCCCTTCGGTTTGAGGTTAAAAGGAGACCGACGTTCCTTTTAAATGTTAAGCTGTTTGAGGTGTACAGTTGCCTTTCTCTTGCCGTGCCATTTTAGTTTAAAAGGTGAAGCTGTTTGAAGTCATTACTCAGAGAGCAGAGGCGGGGCTTGGCTTTACTATTACAGGTGATAATTTTCTCAGCTACTTAGGAGTGAATGATGAGCGCGTTTTCCAGTGGCTTTTTTTTTTTTAATAGAAAACCGGGAGGATATACTTAACGCCAGCGACAAATTAACAGAGGTCCTTGAAGAAGCCAACAACCTATTTAATGGAGGTAATCGATTATTTTACGTTACCCTATGTTTGATTATTTAATTAGCTTTATGTAAGAGCCAAATTATTGACATTATACAATTCTCAGATTTATTATAGTGCTTTACAAGATTTAGAGTAGGATAGCAACTTTTATTGTACGCTTAAATGTACATGTAAAAGTAAATGTGTCCATAAGTGTACCAGTCGGTCTCCAAGGGGAGGCCGGGAGTGAGCTCAAAAGTGCTGAATTCTGGTCCATTAGAGCTTTAAAAAATAATCTTAGTTTGGATTAAAAAAGCAACTGCAGAAGTTCTGGTCTGTGTTCAGTGACAGAGGACAGGTTGGGGTACTCCTGGATATGGGTGCTGGGTCAGAGAACTCTAGGACAACTACCCAGACATTGCTCCTCCAGGCCTTTCCTGTAGCTCTGTGGGAACAGAAGGGGAGAATGCAGACAAATATCTTAGTAAAAAAAAAATTGTCACAGAATTGGTCATGTCCTGACCCCGTAATTCCTGGTCCTCCAGGACCAGAATAGTTATTTTTAGTTACTTTCTAATATGGGGAGAGGTTTCAGTGTTGTCACTTTTTAACACTTTCTCCTCTATAATCTCAATTTGTGGCTTGCTTATGCTGACCATGGCCTCCTTATCATTTCCTCATGTGTTCTGCCACATTTGCTAAATCTCATCAGAATCTTCAGGAACTAGCTCTTCCTCTTTCACCTGGACAGATCTTTCCCCTAATCTACACTTTCTTCCCTCCATAGCTTGAACTCACAGTCTTCTTCTCACTTTTATTCCTGATTCATTTACTTCCTTGATATTTATTGTACTTCTTATTAGATCTTTATAGGCAGGCCATCTGCACCCCTCAGTTGTTTCCAGTGGTTAAGACAGAAATTTAAGGCAAAATTGTTCATTCAACTGGGCCCTAGGAGTTGCTCAGCAGTAAAATTCTAGGTGCTTGGCATTCATGGATTGGTGTCTCTGATTTAAATCTTTTGAGGTTGTGCGGTCATCTGTGACACGGTACTTGTACTTTTCTTGCAGTGTACTATGGGGCTGATGGGCAGGGGAGATACAGAATAGAACCCATTTACAGAATAGAACCCAGGAATGACTCTACCCAGCAACCTGCATCTGCATCTGCTTTGTTCCCTTACTCATTGTCATTTTGGCAGTGACTCTCCCAAACTGATTAAAACTTTACCTTTGAGAACATGATGGGTAAGAACAAAAGCCGAGTGAACAAGTTCTCCAGCCAAGTATTTGTTATTTGTGTGAGGATTGAGGATTGTTCAGCACATCAGTGCTTCAAAAGCAAGGGCCCTGAGGTATAAGCCAGTTACAGGCATCTATAATTGAACATGCCTGAGTTCTCTTTTCTTGGCTCCCTTTAGAATTCTGCTTTGCAGGTGTTCTCCTATTACTTTTCATGCTCCCTGTTACCATGTCTGTTAAGGCCTGGCCTCTTAGCCCTGCTGTTTTTTCCATCTCCCCAAGCCCTCTCTCCCTACACATAGTGAAAATTCGACTTATGTCAGCACAGGCAAGATCAGTGATTAGCATGGGCTGAATTGAAGGAGAAAATGAATGTTAGACATGATAGAGGATTTTGTTAAATTGGGGTTATTAAGAAACTGGTTCAGTTACCTGTAGGATGAAAGCTAGAAGGAAAGATGGCTTTTAGGAAGACTGGTCAGCTTTGATTGGGATTTTGGTGACGTGCGTGGGGAGCCAGTTTTAGGAGATGAATCTTTTCTCACCTTATTGAGATTTTTTGGGGGGCCAATGGGAAATGCTAGTAAGTAGTCTGAAATATCTGTGGGTAATGTGTATTTTGTAATGTGTATATTTTCCTTCTTTTCTTGACAGTGTCCCGAGCAAGAGAAGCAGTCCTAGATGCCCAGTTTCTTGTTCTGGCTTCAGATTTGGGCAAAGAAAAAGCAAAGAAGCTACGCTCTGATCTGAACTCATTTGATATGTTAAGATACGTTGAAACTCTAGTAAGTTCAAAGTTACAGAATTTTATAAAAATATTTCTTGTCAGGGCCGGGATGTAGCTCAGTGGTATAGCACCTGCCTGGCAAGTACAAAGTCCTGAGTTCAATTCCCGGTAACCATGCCTCCCCTAAATTTTCTTGTCATAGTGTATAGTTATCAACTTATGTCAATGTGCAAATGTTTTCACACACTGCACCCCACCCCCTTTTTTTCTTTTTCTAATCTCCAGTTCCTCTAAAGAGATGTTAATCAAGTTAAATAGAGGAAAGTAGAGCTCTGCGGTAGAATTTAGGGTGGGAACTTAGACCAGTTTGAAAATCTTAAGTGTTCTAAGACTCTGGGTACTGTGGTTATTTATAAGGGGCCATTTCCTCAGTCATTTTATAAGTCTTCTACATCATTCTCGTGACCTGAAACCTTTGTTTTGGACTGGGCTAAATCCCACACTGCAGTGGGCAGAGCTCAGCTGGAGGTGAATTAGGCCTGGTGAGAGGCATATCTTGGTCAGTCTTTGAGAATATTTTAGAAAGAACCATATGAATATGACTGCATTTTGCTCTTTTGGATTTTATTTTATTGATTGATTGATTGCTTCATAACAAGTTTGAGTAGCTATTACCCATCTGAACTGATTTACCAAAAAAAAATAACAGAGATTGACCTTATCTTAATTCTATTTTCTTTATTTTGCCCTGAGCCAGCCCCTGTTCTAGCACAGAGAGATGGACCTTGGTATGCACAATCAATTTCTAACTGGAGTTGATATTATTAGGTGGTTATTAAAATGATTTAATATTGTGAAATCTGACCGGATAAAGTGATTATATAAAAAAGCATAAGGCAGACAATTATTTCTGCTTTGTTGTTTTTTGGTACTGGGAATTCAACACAAACTCAGGACTTCGTGCTTGCCAGGCAGGTGCTGTGCCGCTGAGCTATATCTTTGGCCCTTTGCTTTGTTTTTATTTTTATTTCTTTATTTTTTTTATTTTTTGGGGTTTTTTTCCGGTACGAGGAACCGAATTCACAACCTTGCGCTTGTCAGGCAGGCGCTGTGCCACTGAGCTAAATCCCCAGCCCCTCTGCTTTGTTTTTAAAACCTAAAAATTTTCTTTTTTAAAAAGAAAAGCAAATTTTTTTAAAATTGTGAAATATAATGAATTTAAGCAAATGCATACTTATGTATGACTCAAAGTGACTATATATTGGTTGTATATTTTTTAATTATTTTTCTAAAAATCAAGTTAAGCACTATGCTTTAAATAAAATGTCAAAATAAATTCCAGAAGTCTTAACACAGTAAATATAGAAGTTAATAGTTTTCTAGACTGGTTGGGCAAGGTCTTCCCAAGAACAATATCAGACATAGACACTGAATGGAAAAGATTGGCAGATTTGACCAGCCAGAAATCAAAACATCCTGTTATGGGGGTGCGCTGGTAAAACTGGGCTGCAAGTGGTTGAAGGAGTGTTGACTATACTGCTCTGGTCGGGACCTTGTAGCTCTTCTTTCAGAGTTTTGTTGCTTTTAAATAAGGCTAACTTTCTCAAATGATTATTGTTTATGTATTACAATTTTAATTTAAAACTTTAGGCATTTTATAGTGTAATATACTAAAGTATTCATCCATAAAAGTAAATTCAATATAGTACATTTTCTGTAAGCCAAACTGAGAATTGTTCAACTTCTGCCAGCTCTTCTCAGGAAGGAAGCTGTAAAATGAGTGATATCCTCACGGTGGCTAGGCTGCTATTCTCTGGATATACTGAATAAAGCTGAATAAAGAGGTCTAGGGAATTGGCTAACAATTAAAATCTAGCTAAACCTCCCTGTTCTGTCTTGGAGTTATTGACGTGGAATTTCATTTTTTGTTTTTATCTTAGTCCAGTTTTACTAATAACTGAACTACTTAAGATACAGAAGTCCCCTGTAGGCTTAGTTACTGGGCATACCTAAACCCCTCAGCCTTCTAGTGGGCTAAAGCAGGGTTTCTTGGCCTCAGCATTATTGCCATTTTGGGCCCGGTAAATTTTTGTTCTGGGGCTACTGTCTAAGATGTTGAGAAACCTCCTTGGCCTCTTCCCAGTAGATATAGATGTAATAGCACATCAGCTGTGACAACCAAAAATGTTTTGATATTGCCAAAAGACCTCTGGGGACAACCGCCCTGGTTGGGAACTACTGATCTAAATCATCTCATTTTTTCACCTAAAGGTTCTGAGAACATGGGGGATTTTCTTTTTTTTTTTTTGCCAACGAGAATGTACCTTTGACTAGGAATTTATATATGAAATTATATTTATAATAAGGAATGAGCCATTGTATTAAGATGCTAAAAGCTGTCTTTGCCTCTGGTCTCTTAAAGGTTTAGTTATACAGATTATTGGATGTGGTGAATGACTGCTTGTGGTTTAACTAGGGTTTTTTTGTTTTCCTTCATTTTTGTAGCTGACTCATATGGGTGTAAATCCGCTAGAAGCTGAAGAACTCATCCGTGATGAAGATAGTTCTGATTTTGAATTCATAGTCTATGACTCCTGGAAAATATCAGGCAAAACAGCAGAAAACACCTTTAATAAAACCCATACATTCCACTTTCTGTAAGATTATTTTAAAAATCCAATAGACCAACCACTTGTAAACCTTAACTTGTTTTTTTATTGTAGGGATAAAGATCATTTGGTACTGTAGGGGTGACAATCCTGGTGCCATTATTTGGAGACTTTCTAAACTTTATTCTAAAAGCCCATAAACTCTTGAAGCACCTTCAAGGATTTCTCATCTTACTTTACTAGGAAAGGCCATGAACCAGGACTTTCTTACCATGACTCTCTCCTGGTCTTTTTACTTTCTAGCTCATGAGATTCTGGGTTTATAGCATATTTCTGGTTTCCTTTATGTCATCTTTGAAATCCTTACCATGTAGAAGGAGTCAGTGCCCTACTTATGTTAAGATTCTAGCAATATATTGTGAAGAGCTAATTATTACAGCATTCTATTAGATGATCACTGACATGCATTTGAATCACTGTAACAAATTGTGGAGTTTTGTTTTTTTGGATACAGCTGTATGAAAAGCTTTTCTTTGTACTCAGATGAAACTGGCTGATAACCTTAACTTACCTTTAGCCTCCGAAGCTTGCTGAGACATTGTCAATCTCAGGTGGTTTTAAAAAGCAAAGTAAAAAAGATAAATGCCCAGGAACTATACCACTTACGAAAGAAAGGCCTGAAACAACTTGGAAGATTACCTAGAGCAACGGCAGTGAACCTTTTAGAGATGAGTGCCCAACCCCACTTATTTATCACAGTGCCAACACTTCAATGAAACCAGGAGGTTTTAGTTTAGAAAAAACAACTCATACATTAACATCTTTTGTCTTTTGGAAAAACGACACATGTGCCAGAGGCTCACCACTTCTGCCCTAGAGAAAGAATCTATGATAAATGCAATTGAAGGTTGTCTTATAACAGAAGTAGGAAGGGCTGTACATCTGTACACCAGGAAGGTGCTTAAAGGAGCTATGTGGTTGAACAAGCCTCCTAGCAGTTTTCTTATAAATACAAAGAGCAGAAAGGATATCACAGTCTTTGGTCTGGTGTCAGGTCATATGTCACTGATGCCTGGTCTGAATTTGACAATGCCATGCCAGCTGCTTTTAGTTAATGGAATTAGTTTGTTTAAAAACAAAACAGAAAGAGACAGGAAAGCATATTTTTTTATTAGGTTGGGTTCAATACAAGGAGAGTCACCTGTGCCAAAGCCACGAATTGATCGCCCCAAAAGAGTTCGGATAATACAAGAGGAGACAACAATGCCTGCTCAGGTTGGTTTTCTGAAATGTTGCTTTTTAAACCACCTAAAGTTAAAATAGTCATTAAATGATGTACATACCAGTTGGTCATCTTTTGTAAGTTTTAGGGTCTAGAGTCCAGTGCTGTCATTTACATAGTCATTTTAAGTCTTTAACTTAAATGACTTAATGGGCTGGTCACTTGTCTTTGTTTTAATTCATTTCTGTAGTTCTGAAAGGTTCTAAACTAGGACCCCTCACCCTCAACACCATCAGCATTTAAAGCTGGATAATTCTTCATTGTGGGGAACTGACCCTGGCCACGGGGTATGAGGTGCCAAGAATATACACCCCTTCTCGCACTGTAGTTGTGACAACCAAAAATATCTTCAGATAACGGCAAAGGACTCCTGGGGGCACAGTGACGTCAGCTGAAGACCACTGCGCTAAATTACCCTTTTTGTACTTTATGTTCAACCTGAAAATAGTTGATTTGGGAATGATACTCATTTACTTATAAATTAATATACAAATTATTGAAACTAGAAAATATTTTTTAACTATAAACATGAAAATGGGGATAAAAATTGCCAGCAATCCCCAACAAAGATACTCTCAAGAGTTTAGGTGTACAAAAGAGAAGAAAAGATGGTTAACTGGAGGTTGGTTAGTTTGATAATTGTTTTCTAGTTAAAAAGTATGGGAGAATGTCATCAAGAAGCAACAGAAAAAGAAGTAGAAAGAATCTTGGGATTGTTGCAGACATATTTTCGAGAAGATCGTAAGTAGGACATCAAATGAAATATGGAACAATTTGTATTTATCAGGTGTGTCACGTTCAATGAGGTTTTTATTTAAAAGACATTTTCATTTGTACATAGTATTTGAATCATTTTGATTCTTTCTTGTCATAATTTTTTGGGGGAGGGGAGTTGTGGCTTGAACAGAGGGCCCATGCTAAGCAAAAGTTCTGCCACTGAGCTACACCCCTGGCCCTTATCATACATATGTAATGAGGCTCCTTTCACCTTTGAGCATCTCATGAGAACACTGATAAAGTAACATTTTGTTTGTGTTGATTTGCTCTTCCAGAGCAGCAGGAGTGCTTGTTCCTTTTATGTCTCAGGCTAATGCTAAAGAATACAGGTATTATTTATAAGCAAGAGCAATTTTTTTATGTTTTGAAGAATTTTTTCTTTTTTCTATAGCTGATACTCCGATATCCTTTTTTGACTTTGTGGTGGATCCACAGTCTTTCTCCCGTACGGTGGAAAACATGTTTCATGTATCCTTCATTATACGGGTAAGATTTAAGATTTCTATAATTGCTTTTATATTCTTTTAAAAGGGTATACAAGAAAATCTGTAGAATGGGAACTGGCAGAGCTATCTGTGCTAAGCAGTATGCAGTTTAGACTCATTGTGCTAAAACATTGATTGGCATATTAGGTAGAAGAGACAAGCTTAAAATTTGTGTGGTTGCTTTTAGGTTTTAAGAATTAAAGATTGAGTTACTTAATCTAAAAATTCAAAATCGGCAGTGCTTCACAATTTGAAACTTTCTGAGTGCTGACATACTACAACTGAAAAATTCCATAGCTGACCACATGTGATGGGTCACAGTTCAGAACCAGGTGCATTACATATTGTATAAAAATTTACCTTCATGTTTTCTGTATAAGGTACCTATGAAACATAAGTGAATTTCATGTTAGGCATCCCATCCCTAACAAATCTCATTACATGTGCAATTATATCAAAATCCAAAAACCTGAAACACTGCTGGGTCCAGTCATTTTGGATAAAGGATACTGAACTTGTGTTTAGAGGAATAATTACAAAATTTGTACGTTTAACTATAGATTAAATAACAGTAACTTTTAAAAATTTGAGAACTGTCTTATACTAGACTAGAATAACGTGTTCTCAGAAAATACACCCTGAAAAAATTAGGAAGGGGAGGCAGGGTGTCTCATTTTCACATCATTAATGTATAATAATATTAGGGAGGGCTGGGGATGTAGCTCAGCTGCACAGGGCCTGCCTGGCAAGTGTGAGGAAGCCCTGAGTTCGATTCCTAGTACCAAAAAAGAAAATAATTCTTAAAAAGACCAAAAAAAATCCCTTTAATAATATTAGGGAGACTGGTAAAGCAGATGTGGCAAAGCTTTAACAGTTGGCGAATATGGGTAAGGATATAGGGAGGTCTTTATAGTAGTTTTATAGCTCTTTTTACATCTGAAGTTTTTCACAGTAGGTTTTAAAAAACTGTGTACAGAAAAGTACTTACGTATTCTTACATATGTAAGATAAATTTGACTTCAACCTTAGATAAAAGCCCATATTGACCTTGTAGAGGAGGCATATTTACCATTGTTCCCAATGACAGAATTATGTATAGTAAAAAGTAAAGTGTATATAACAAAATATGCATAAATCAGTTAACGAGATAAAACAATTTTTGAGAGTCTCAGGTGGAGGCCATGTCCGGTAAAAGCTGATTTGAAACCTGAGTGATACCTGGATGTGAAGAAACATGTTAGAGAAATCTTGTCCATGTTGTGTCGTTGTTAGGATGTATTAGGACTGTCAGAGATACACACATGAATATTTTTTTTTCATTCAGTAGTTACAAGTATGAGTTTAAGTTTGGTTTTTTTCTCTTACAAATCATGTTTTTGCTTTAGGATGGCTTTGCACGAGTAAGACTTGACCGAGACCGATTGCCGGTAATAGGTAAATGATGTTGTTTGGAAAAACTAGTTTTAGAGAAAATACATTTGGTATTAAAGCTTATGAAATGTATTTTAATAATGTAAATGAGTTCATTGTAGGTAACAAATTTTTACATGTTGTCTCTTGCCCAACTAAATGAAAATTCTGAAGACATGGCTTAAAACTTAAAGCTTAACATAGTTTAAAACTTCAATGGACTCATCTATATCATTGATTCAACATCTGCTGTAAAGATGAACAAAAAGTGATATATAATTTCCCCAAATTTAATTTAGAAAGTTTGTAATTGCAGTCACCTAGGTTCTTCCTTCTTTCTACCACTTCTGTCCAGGTGTTAGTTCCTTCTTTACCTGAGATTCTATAATCTTTCATTCTTACTTGAATAATTTCAGCCTTTATTACACATGTCCTTCTGAGGGCTCCTATAAAGCAGGATGTACTCGCACTGCACTTAACTTGCTACTTCAGATGTTCTCAATTTCATACTGGACTGGGTTTCTTTAGTTGGTACATAGATATATAGAGGTTTTCTAATGTTTGGAGTGTGTTTTTAAAAATGGAAACATGGATTACTTGCTACTTTGTCGTACTACAGCAACTTCTGTATGAAAGTGTGTAATGCTTCTCTTCTTAGTATAGGTTTTATTCTTGTTATTCATCAATCACTATTCAGATTACCTATTCTGGTTTGATAACTTCGATTTGATAACTTTGAACACTTTGTCTCTCAAATAGAGCCTGCGAATGAAGGAACTGAGGGAATTGACCATAACACCCAAGTTAGGAATCAATCAGTTATAGCTTTGAGTTATCGTGACTGGGAGGTAAAGCTCTGCATGTTGCTCCTGAATAGTTCTGACTGACTGCATTTGCTTAATGCAGTTCAATACCTAAACATTGTTCTTTCTTCCCTGCCAGGAGATTGTGAAGACCTTTGAGATTTCTGAGCCTTTGATTCCTCCAGCGCAGAACAGACAGAGGCAAAGTACTTGATGCCAGCTGAAGGTAACACTTGCTATGGGATAGCTGTACAGTTTATTATTACAGTTTGACAATCCAAACCATCCTTTTTTCCCAGCCAGTAAAATATGGGTTTTGCCTCCCTCTAGTGTCCCACTGGTAGATTTGCAGCTATAGAGCTTGTAGTTTGCCCTGTTCCAACATATATAGCTAAATTAAGTAAGTGAAATGCGGAAATCCCTCAGTGTTGTTCACGGTCCATTAGATTTGCTTTTTTTATAAGTACACAGCAGCAAAGGAGGATGAAGACAGAATTACCTGAGGATGACTTTAGTAAATGGAACTTTCTGCCACCTGAATTATGCTATGAAATAATCCTTCATTTTTATGAAGGGGAGCAGTTCTAGAAAGGAATCTTAGAATCAGCGAGGCTTTGTGTACTGCAGACAGCTGTGGGTGGGGATGAGGGGACACAGGTTCTGTCCGTGCCGCTCCTCATTTAAAGCTTTGGGCAAGTTACTTCATCTCAGCTTCCTGTTTGTTATAAATCTGTTCAGATAAAGGGGTACTTTTCAACTAGATAATTACCACTTTCTTTTTCTAGCTCTCATTTTCTATGATTTCCAGAATTTAAATGAGTTTATTTTAGTAATTAATACAAACTCTTAATATGTTTGTTTCTGTCGAAATATTCTGAGAGAGAATAGACATAAAGTATAACGTGCATTAAACTGGGCCCTCTCACTGAGGAGAGGTAGTTAGATTTTTTTTAATGTACATTACATGACCTTTTGATTTACCATTTGTAAACTGCTAACCAGCTCTTTTTCTCCTCTTTTTAGGACTCAAATGGATAGTGAAATCCTAAAAGGAAAGCAGCATGTATTGTATATATTGTATGATTGCACATTTTTAAAGACAGGTTGTTTTTAGTAAAGTGTAGCTTTTGATAGTTAATAAATTTGTGATGGTTGTCTTTGATTAAAAGAAATTCACTCATATTTACAAGTAATTGTACTCTTTAATTTTACTTTCTTTTCATGAGAGAATTTCTCCTTTTCCCACAGTTGTGGCATTGAGAAGTTTTACTTAGGTAGTTAATTCCCTTTGGATCGTTATAGTTCTTTTTATGCGTCTTTAGCTGTAAAGTTAGTTAGCCAGGTTAACAAATAGGTACCATCTGAAGTTGTTGTTTTTGAAGGCTAAAATTGGTCAAATATCAGTAATGTCTTATGGTTCAGCCTGTAACTTGCATACAAGGAGCTATTAAATCCTCTGGGAAGCCAGGCCAGACTACTTGCCTCAGTAACACTAGCTTGGGTCCATCCTTCCGCATGCTGCTTTGTGCTTCTGATCTCTGTTGGGCTTTCAGATCTGCCCTGGATGTTTTCTAGGGTTCTTTCTCCTGTTCCTTAGCTTTCTGTTTTTCCATCCTTTCTCATTACTATGTGATCTCTAGGGTAGCACTGTCTTTTCTGTGAAAGGCTCTGGATTCTAGCTCTTTCTAGGAGACTGCTCTATCTAGCCATATTTCAACTATGCTCCACTCCCATCTTAAAAAATAGTTAATTGTAGCTGGACGTGGTGGCACATGCTTGTAATCCCAGCACTTGGGAGGCTGAGGCAGGAGGATCACTGTGAGTTTGAGGCCAGCCTGGGCTACAAAGTGAGCTCAAGGCCAGCCTGAACTACAGTGAGACCCTGTCTCAAAAAGCTAAAAAAAAAAAAAAATTGTGGTTGAGTACAGCGGTACATATATATAATCCCAGCGCTCTGGGAGGCTAAGCCAGGAGAATCTCAAGTTAGAGCCCAGCCTGGACAACTTAGAGACCTAGAAAGACTTCCTCTAAAAGAAAAATTAAAGCAAACAAACAAAAAGAAAATGAATGTCCTTGTTCAATCCCCCATACCACAACAACAACAAAAAAAAGAAAAAGTTAACTGGAACCCTTATCAAGCTATTATCCTCCCTACTCTCAAAGAATCACTTGAGGTCTCCTCTGCTGTACATCCTCAAACCATGGGGAAATGGCACCCCTTTTCCGTCAATCTGCTGAGTCTGTTATACCACTTTTACCAATTCCTTTTCAAACAGAGTCCAGTGAGTAAGTTCTGAGTATCTGACACATGAAATGCCTGCTTTTGCCGGGTGTGGTGGTGCATGCCTGTAATGCCAGCACTTGGGAAGCTGAGGTGGGAGGATTTCTTTGAGTTCAAGGTCTAACTGGACTGCATAGTGAGTTCAAGGCAGCCTGAACTGCATGGTGAGACCCTGTCTCAAAAAAAAAAAAAAAAAGAACAAGAAATATCTACTCTTTTTCTGATTTCTTTTCCACTGTCCTCATCTCTTGATTTATACACATTTACATCCTGAACAGTCTTGAAACTTTGATCCTTAACCTAATTGAAAATACTAGATCTATGTAACCAACGGTTTATTGTTTAGCATATGGGCTATTTTAAACATTTATAAAACTGCCCCCACCCCAATCTTTTTTAATTCCTCTACTGGTGCTTTTACCACATTATTTCCTTGGACAGAAACCTAAGATTTCCCTGGCAACTCCTTAGCACCCCATGCGTTAATGGGTCACTAATTTCTTTCTGGTCTCTCCACTTTCTCCATCTTGCCCACATTACTATCAGAGACGCCGGTCTGATATCTCCTGCTTCCTTGGTTCCTGTCTGTCTTTCTGATCTCTTCCAAGCCACTTGACAGTTTCTCACTGGTTGCTCACTGCCTTCAGTATTTAAAAAATCTGAACTTTTCAGTGCAATTCAGAGCCTTCAGAATCAGGCCCCTTGCCCCCATTTCTTGGATCACATCCTTTTTTCTAAACTCTAGCATTTTTTCTTTTTGTTAAATAGGTTAATTGAGATATAATTCACATAGTGTATAATTCACTCACTTAATACAATTCAGTGTTTTAAAATCGATTAATGGGTTGTGCAGCTGTTGCCACAATCTATTTTAGAACATTTCTGTCACCTTACTCTGTATTCATTAACTGTTACTCTCCTGTCCACATCTAACTTTCTTACCTCTGCCCTAACTAGTGACAAACCTACCTTCTGTACAAATGTGTCTAATGTGGAAATTTCACACAAATGAAATCACACCCCAAAAAAAAAAAATCACACCACCTGTTGTTTTAACACCATACTTTTTCAAGTATACATGTCCCCAATTGCTTTTTTTCTTTTTTGTCGACTTCCTACAATTTTATTCAACTGATTACTATAAAATATGCTAAAAAAGAAACGCAATAATAAAATAACTTAAAACTTTATATTTTTCTAGTTTACTTCTCAGGAATGGCGGTATACTTAAGAGCTCCCTTGGGAGTGGTTTTTGAATTGTAGCCTCTTTCGATTTCTCCATCAGGATAGTCACTTCCATGAGCGTTTTCTGGTAAGGCTGGAAGATAGGATAAGCCGTGACCCTCTCAGACTCTTTCACCTCCTTCTTCTCCACTTGAGATTTTAGGACAGGAGGAACATAGCCAGAGCGTTTCCAGGCATCTCTTTGATGACTTCTCTGCTCTGTAAGTTTTCTCCCACGAATCATTCGCTCTTGATGTCTCTTCATCTGTTCCTGGGCCCATGCCACCTTGTGTTTTTTGGTTTCAGGTTTGTGTGCTTTCTGGGTGGTTCCTTTCTTTTCAGTCTCCAGTGGTAATGTTTTTGGGGAAAGTTTTTCACTTGGAATTGTTGGAGGGAATGGTTGATATTTGTGGTCTCTGAGGCCTCTAGCTCTTTCAGCTCGCTGTATGTGTTTCTCTATATGATTCAGTTCCCTCTCAGACACTAGATATCCCCATTTTTTAGCGTCTTCTGATTTTTTACTTTGTGATCTCTTCTCATCTTCCTCTACTTTAATTTCCCTTTCTGGAACTGTCTTGTTCTGCGCTTCTTTCATCATTTCTTGATGTCGTTGATAATAGTATTCCTTTGCTTTAGCAAACCAGAAGTCAAAAGACATGGCCTTAAATTTATCAAGTGCTTCATGCTCCTTTTGAAATTGTTGGGCTAATAGTTTTCTCACTTCTGAAGAATGGATGCCACCTAAACTCTTATCAGAGGGAGTAATTAGAACTTTTAAAGTTGGGTATCCTGGACTTTAGTTCCATGGTACAGATCTCAAAGGGGCTGTTAGCCCTGCCTGGTGCTCCTACACTCTGCCCCAGTTAGGGTCTCTTAACCAAGTACTGTGGTCACGTCATCCTCTTTACTCCCCTCTACCGCAGGGTTCCCTCGTAGGTGAGGACTTTGCTTTAGACGTCCTTGAAACAGTCAGGAGCGCCCTCTTCCCACTGGCACTGCTCTTTAGACTTAGCCAACGCTTGCACCTGTGCTTATTGGGCTTCAGGAATTCCAGCTTTACAGTTACCAAATTTCCTTTGCTGTGTCACCAAACCTCACCCCTATTGAATCACTCCTATCAGCACAAAAGTGTGTTTATACACATACTATATTAACACATATATATAATCTTTAAAAGGAAAATGCTTCCTTTAGTGAATACCTTTACCATTCTTTTTGCTCCCTGCGTCACAGTGTACTTCCTGGGTAAGGCAGCCTATCGTGTCAGGACTGCCCTAGAGTGGGAATAGGGATGAAGGTGACAAGAGCTGTCCGGGCACTGCCCAGCCCCCTCCTCTCAATTTTGGATCTAGCCCTTGTGTACTTAAAAGATCTCTACCTGTTTCTTCTTACAGTACCCACCTTATTAATCCAATCGCTTCTAACAAAATGCTGCACCCATCCATGTTTCTTTTTAGCCCTGTCAGCATAGTTGTCTGACTCCACATTTCTATCCCTCTGCCCCGACATGCACTGGACCAATGCAACCGAAGTGCTCTTTTTATTACGTAAATCTAAGCGTGTCACTTTCCTACATAAAGCCCTAGGGTAGGGTCCTATTACTTTTAGGAGAAAATCCCAGATTCCAGTTTGGCATCCATAACGGGTCCCTGATTACCTCTTTGACCTTTTTAGTTCACTATTTGCTGACTCTGCGCCAGCTGCACTAACATCTGTTTCTCAAAATGGTATTCCCCATATGAGTATTCACATGTTCTTCCTTCATCTGCTCCCAAACATGGCAGCATCACTATGGTATTTATGTTTATAATGTTTAGATTCCAGCTTAACGTATTTCTTTAGATGTTCCACATGCTTCTCAGACAAAAATCCAATGCTTTCATGACACCACATAGTATTTGTATGCCCCTCACTAGGTTAAGCACTTAAGAGGGCATAATGTATTTATTTTATTCAGTGCTATCCGGCCACCATTACAGGTGCCTTGAGAATTAAATGCCAAACTAAAGAGCTAGTAGTACACTTTGCCTTGAAATACTTGGGCCCTTTTGACCTTTAGCATAAACTCTCTATGACCTTAATAATGAATTTGAACTTCATGGAAAGTGTATTTTCTCACCTTAATCTTCTTTTCTAGTGGGGAAAAGGGACCTGCTGCCATCCAAGGGTCTTGAGTATTTCTAGCCCAGGCCAATCTGGAAGGTGAAAAAGAGAAATTAATGCCAAGATTTGGAGCAAGACATCAAGAAACATGTTACAAAATGAACACCACTAGGAGACTGACTTGGGACCCACTTTCCACACGTAATACAAGGTGTTTCTCTGTGCCAACAGGATATGACTCTATCTCCTATCGTTCCCAAGGATAGGAATGCACTCTAGGAAGTGCATTAGGAAGCACTCTAGGAATGCTTAGGAAGCAAGGAAGGAATGCACTCTGATGCAAGGGCTGTGTTATCTTTGAGATCGCAGCTATGGGAAGCACCTTTATTTTAATACTGGCAAGAGAAGATTGAGCTGTGGCTTCAAATACCACAGACCATTGCTTTGGTATAGTAGTGAAAGAAAGAACTCAGTTTTGATGAGAAAAGTTTTCAGAGGTGTTAAATTCACTTGATGTTCAGTTATGTGTAAAGGTATTAGTAACAATTTCTAGCCATAGCTATTAAATTATAACAGGTTCTATGATTCTTGTCAAAGGCTCACATTTTAAGTGGAAAATGAAATAATTAGATAAGCTTTTTGAAAATTTAGTGTAGATAAATGTAGTGAGAATTTGGCCCTTATGATTGAGCACAGTCACATTTAAGCATCTTAGAGATCACACATTTTTTAACCTGGCTGGTAAGGAAATAGTTCTGTATTTAGCATCCTGGGTTACAAGTATTTTTATGGCTTTCAGCAACCAAAGAGGAAGATTTTGTAACAGGACTGGAAGAAGTGAGCAACAATTTGTCTTTTAAGTAAAGCTGATTTCTTAACATGATGAATCTGATTGCATGTATCTCTTTTGTAAGTGTTCATTATTTCTATAGCAGCAGTTTTTTGAGATTCCAGTACAGTAGACACTGTGTTGTGAGCTTAAGAGGATTACTTTCCTTAATATTTCCTTAATATTTCAAACAGCCTGAGGAAGTAAGTACTCCTTATCCCTTATTTCATGGCAAAGAGAATGTATTAGCAGTTTCTTAGTGGGCCCAGGGCTAGTTTCAGTGACAGATGTGTCCTGTGTGACTCCATTTCCCATCACTCCCATCCCTGTGCTACATTTGTTCATTCTGTTATGAACACTGAACGTTCCATTGCTTATACCCAAAATGGAAGGAAAAGAATACTTACTGGTTTTCTGTACTCAGACCCAGCCACTCTGTCACTGCGGGAGGCTGGGAGGGTTGGGCCTGTATCCCTCCTAGCTCCTTTGAGAGTCCCCCAGGGTCCCCTTTTTCCAAAGCCTCTTTCGTCACTCGCATTGTTCTTGTTGCCTTGTGTTTATCTTCTGTGTCTTTGGCTTCAGCCATCACCCTGTCGGCTGCCAGCTTCATGTACAGCATCTTTGCTCTTCACTCTTCCTCTGAGCGTCTCCTCCCGTGAGCTGCACCCCAGTGCTTTAACCTCCCATTCCCCGTTCTGCAGAGTACTGATTTCCAGCCACTAAAGTTTCTGGCCTTCATTCACATGTTGAGCTACCTACTTGTGATTTTTGAGGATAGCTTGGGTTGATTTCTAAGGTAACCAGAAGCAGTCACAAGCTTTCTGTGTGTCATCACTATCCTAGATAGAGACTACTATGAGGCGGTATGTGAAGGCATAGTCTGTTGGTGGGGAGTGGATTTCCCTGTGTGAGCCAGGCTGGATGGCCACACACAGAAATTAGAGGGGCTGTGTTTCCACGACATGGCGCCTATTGAAGAGAAAGCTTTGAAGATACTGAGGGCATCCTTTTTATTTTTGTGTTTTGGGAATAAATATTGTGTACTCTCCCTGGAAACAGACCCAGTGCAAACTGTTGGCAGTGGGTCCTATATGCAGACTCAATAATTGATGGGAGCTGGAAGAATATGCTGAAGGCCTAGTCATGTTGTAATTATTACTTAGTTGGTGTCACTCAGCTAAATACTGCCATCCCAGAGGTTTTGAACTTCAATACAGTTTAATATATTTTTAGCCTCATAGATGGAAATATTCCAGTATTGAAATACAAAATAATGAAATTATTCTTTGTGTTTACTTCAAGATACATTTTACCATTTGTGTAAGCTATATTTGTCCGAAAAACATGTGGTCCACTAAGATGTCTCTAGGTCTTTAATACTTTATAAAAAAATGTTAAGGGCTAGGGATATAGCTGCGTGCCTCAGTGCCTGCCTGGCAAGCACAAGGTCCTGAGTTTGATTCCCAGCACAAAAAAAAAAAAAAAAAGTTTAAAATTTGTATTAGTACATGTTTGCAGTACATAATGATTGCATTCATTGTGGGGAATTGATACATGAACATAACACATCTCAATTCTGTTTATTTCCCTTTACCCACTCTGCTTTGCCAGCATGAGAGTCATTTATTTATCTTACAAGTCCTTATACAGTTAGTTCCATACATACAGATTAACAGCCAGACTAAAAGGCTGAAAACCATATAAAACACATAAGACAAGTAGTATACTTTTAAATACATTGTCCATTCTTAGAAAGGAAAGGTGAGCTGTGTGTGGTGGCATATGCTTGTAGTCTCAGTAGTCTGGAAGGCCGAAGCAAGAGGATCACAAGTTGAAGTCCTGCCTGGGCAATTTTACTCTCCCTGGAAACAGACCCAGTGCAAACTGTTGGCAGTTCTAAGACCTTGTCTCTAAGATATAAAGACCTCAGTACAAAGGCCCTGGATTCAATTGCTAGTACCAGAAAGCCCCAAACATCCCTCCAACATACAGATGTAAAAAGGAGAAAATACACAAATTGGTTTCTTCCTAGAAATGACAATCTGTCCCTCCCCAAATTTGCTGTTTGCAAAGAAGTACTCAAAAGTGTCAAAAAGATGTATCATTTAGAAATAAAGTTATAAAAGTAAATATATGCTTTAAGAAATAAGTGAATTTCAAGTATTGGGAGATCGAAATTGTTTTATCTATTTTCATATAAAACAATTAAATTTCAGTCTACATTTTAGTGTTTACTTGCTCTGCAATCCAAACATGATGTCATTTAAAAATTGATAAAAAAAAAATTGATAAAAAACCATTCCACTAAGATGTCAAAGTCAGTATGATACTGATTTGGACAAAACCTTGGTACACCTATGACCTGACAACAGTGTATTAGCAGAAGTCACTTATTCACTGTCTATGAGTCAAAGATAAGTGCTAGGTGGTGTCATTTTATCTCATGTGAAAACGTAAATAGACGCCTCGTTGCCTCTTGGCCTTTTGGCTAAATATAGAATAATATATAATAGAAGCTTTTTTAAAAATAAAGAAATATATATATCTGAGTGTAAGACTGTTTAGCCAAGTAACATAAAGTAAAGCTTACCTAAAGAAAAATACATGGATCTAAAAGTTTTTATTTAAGTGCCATGTTGTAAGTTGTTTCTCTTTTCTGATAAGAGAAACTAGAAGGGGAGGAGAATTTAAGTCAGCCAAATAAATACCCAAATTTTTTGATAGTAAATCTGGCTGAAACAAACTAGTTTAGAGTTCTCTCTCACATATGTGATAGATGACTTGTTTTTCTTAAAACAGATGGCTTGAACTGTACCAAGAAACTAACTTTGGTAACAAGTATTTTATTATACTCCTAAATTTTATTCTTTCATAGAAAGTCATGAAAAATGTTTATCTAGATATGAAAAGCCCTGTCTTACACAGGAGATGATGATGGTTCCTGAGTGGAAAGTACTATTAACAGCTTCTCATGTAAGCTGAACTTGAAATGAACTTCAGTGTACTACAGATTAACCTCTAGCTTTGGAGTGACTATTTGTATGGCTGTATCTGTGCTTTCTATTTGTTTCATTGATCTGTTTTTCAGTGCTTTGCTGTCTTGGCTAATATAGTTTTTATAGTAAGTCTTGAAGTCAGGTAGTGTAAGTTCTCCAGTTTTTTGCTTTTAGTATTGTCTCAGTTATTCTGGGTCTTGGAGTTCCCATATAAACTTTTGAATTATTTTGTTGATACCTGTAGAAGGAACCACCTGTGGTTTTGACTGGGGTTTCACTGAATCCAAAGATTGACTTGGAAAGAACTGACATCTTAATACTATTCATTTTCCTTCAATGAATATAGACTATCTCTCACTTTATATAGAAGTTTATTTCATTTGAGGTTTATAGTTTTCATACAGTAAATCTTATATTGTCCATATTTTGTAAGATTTATACTTATATCTCTCTTGGTGCTAATGCAAACACCACCAAAATGTAGTATCAAATGTAAGTGGTTGTGTTAGTTCCTTTTTTCTTGTTACTGAGAAAAAATATCTGACATCCAAAGATAAAGGGGAAAAGGTTTATTGTAGTTCGCAGTTTGTAGAGGTTTCAGTTCTTAGTTGCCTAGCTCCAAGATAGTGTGGCATGGCAAAGGGGCATCACAGAGGAGTAACAGTTGATGGCAGGCAGAAGGCAGCAAAGCAGTGAAGTAGTGAAGCAGCAGTAGCAAGTGACAACAGCAGCCCTTTCTCTGTCCCTTATATTCTATTCAGTGTACACTCACACCCAGGGTGGAGCACCCTTAATCCTGGCATTGCACCATGAATCAATCCTAACATCCTTAATCCCAGCATCACACACTCTAGGTCCAGCCATCTCCAAAAAGCTCCACCTGTGACCACATGAGGCTTCCGGAGAACATCTAGCTACAAGCCATGACAGTGGTATTATATTTTTAATTTCAAATTCTAATTGTTCATTTCTGATAGGCAGAAAAAGCAATTGACTTTCATATATTAATCTCCTATCAATCTTATTCTAATTGGTTATTAGTTCAATTTTGGGGTTATTTTTGTTGAATTTTGGGTTTTTCTACATAGATGTATTATACATTAACAAAGATAGTGGAATTTCTCTCTTCTCTATACATACATCATTTTCTTTTTTTATTTTTTTGAGACAGGATCTCACTATGTTTCTCAGGCTGGGCTTGAACTCACTGTGTAGGCCAGTCTGGCCTCAAACTCACAGCAATTTTCCCGCCTCAGCCTCCCAAGTGCCAGGTTTACAGGCATGTGCCATCACACTCAGCTTCTTTTTTTTTTTTTGTCTTACTGTAATAGAACTTCCAACATGATACTGAATATGGGGTATGGGGACATACCATGTCCCCCTGGTATGGGGACATCCTTGCCTTATTCTGATCTTATGGTGAAACCCTCTAATTTCTCACCGTAAAGTATGATGTTAACTGTAGATTTTTTTAGGTGTCCCTTATTAAGTTGAGGAAGTTCTCCTGATTCTAGTTTGTTGAGTTTTTATCCGAGTGAGTACTGATTTTGTCAAACTTAGGTCTATTAATATGATCATATGGCTTTTTATCTCTGCCCCATTGATACGATTACATTAATTGCCTTTCTAATGTTCAGCAGACTTGCATATTTCAAATATATCACAGTGCTTACATGTAATTCTTTTTTATACATTATTGGATTTGCTAATATTTTACTGAAGATTTTTGCGTCTATGTTCATGAGAGATAATGATTTATAATTTTCCTTTCTTATAATATCTTTGGTTTTGGTATTAGGGTACCATTAGCCTCATAAAATGAGTTAAAAAGTGTTTCATCTGCTTTTATCTTTTGAAAGAGCCTGTAGAGAATTGGTATATTTCATTTTTAAATATTTGGAAGAAGACTGGGCTTTTTTTTTGTTTTGTTTTGTTTTTTTTCTGGTACCGGGAACCGAACTCACGACCTTGCGCTTGCCAGGCAGGTGCTTTGCCGCTGAGCTAAATCCCCAGCCCCAAGACTGGGCTTATTATAGCTCAGTGGCACAGGGCTTGCCTGGCAAGTACTAGGTCCTGAGTTTGATTCCAAGAACAACAACAAAAAATGTTTGGAAGAATCTACTAGTGACGTTATTTGGGTCTGGAGCACTTCTTTTTGAAGGTCATTAATTCTTGACAGAATTTCTTAATAGATAATAAGCCTGAAGGTGTCTTATTGGTAGGCAGCAAAGTAGCGAAATAGCAAAGAAGCAGCAGCAAGTGACCATAGCAGCCCTCTTTCTATCCTTTATATTCCATCTGTCCCTTATATTCTGTATATCTCTATATAGCTATAGAGATGTTTATGTTTCTTTATTACCCTTTGAATGTCCATGGGTTCAGTAGTGATTGTCTTCTGCACTTTTTGGGTTTTTTTTTTTTTTTTGGTAACAGGAATTGAACTCAGGACCTTGTGCTTGCCAGGCAGGAGCTTGTGCCACTGAACTATATCCCCGGCCCCTCCTCTTCACTTCTGATATTGGTAATTTTTCTATTAATCTCAGTAGCTACTTATCAATTTTATTGATCTTTTCAAAGAACCAGCTTTTGGTTTCATTGACTTTACCTTTTGATTTCCTATATTTAATTTCATTAAGTTTTGCTCTAGTTTTTTGTTATTTCTTTTTACAGTTGGAGATTTAACTTGTGACATTTCTAGTTTTCTAAGGTAGAAACTTACTGATTTTAAATCATTTGTAATAAAGTCATTTAATGCTATAAATTTCCCCATTAAACACTACTTTTGTTTCATCTCACACATTTTAATTTGTAGTTTTCTTTTCACTTAGTTCAATGTATTTCTAAATTTCTCTTGAAACTTCTTTGACTCAAGTGTTATTTAGAAGTGTGTTAATTTCCAAGAATTTGGAATTCTCCAGCTATCTTTATAATTGATGTTAGTGCAATTTCATTGTGGTCTGGAAGCAAACATTATGTGATTTCTACTCTTAAGACTTTTTATAGCCCGGAATGTAGCCTGTTTTGGTGTATGTTCTGTGTGGTTTTGAGAAGAATGCCTATTCTTTTTCTTTTTTTGTTTTTTTGATTTGTTTTTTTTTTGTTTTGTTTTGTTTTTCTCCGGTACCGGGAACCGAACTCACGACCTTGCGCTTGCCAGGCAGGCGCTTTTGCCGCTGAGCTAAATCCCCAGCCCTCTTTTTTTGTTTTTTGTCCTTTTGAGAAAGGGTCTCACTATGCAGTTCAGGCTAGTCTTGAGCTCACTGTGTAGCCCAGACTGGTCTCAGACTTGCAATGATCCTCCTGCTTTAGCCTCCCGAGTACTGGGATTACAGGTGTGCACCGCAATGCCTGGCTACAAGAATGTGTATTCTGCCATTTTTGGATGAAGAATTCTACCGATGTCAGTTAATTCAGTTGACTGATGGTGCTGTTTGATTTAACTATGACTTTGTTGATTTTCTTCCTGCTATATCTGTCAACTACTGATACTGAAGTGTTGAAGTCTCCAACTATAAATAGTGGATTCATCTATTTCTCCTTGTGGTATTTTTTTTTTTTGTACCGGGAATCGAACTTAGGACCTTCTGCTTGCCAGGCAGGTGCTTGTGCCGCTGAGCTGTATCTCCGGCCCGCTCCTTGCAGTTTTATCACTATATGCCACAAGTATTCTGCCACTCTTTTCTTAAGTGCATACCTATAGGTTGTTGCATGTTGGAGAATTGACCTCTGTACCTCTGTACAGTATGTTGACTTTTTTTTTGAGACAGTCTAGATAGTGCAGCCTGGCCTCAAACTTTCAGTCCTCCTGCCTCAGCCTCTTCAAGGGTGGGATTACAGGCATGTGCCACCATGTCCTGCTGTAATGCCTCTGTTTAATTTTTTTACATGTTTTATATTAAATTAATACAGTTATCCTAAGTTTCTTTTGATTAGTGTCAGCATGGTATATCTTTATCCTTTGCATCTATTTGTCTTTTTATGTTTAAAGTGGGTTTTTTTGTAGATAATATGTAATTGGGTCTTGTTTTTTTCAAACCATATTGAATGAACAATTCTGTTTTTTTAACTGGTATATTGAGATCACTGCAATTTAAAGTGATTATTGATTTAGTTGATTAATAGCTGTCATCCATGGATGATCTAGTTGGATCATATAGTTGGAATTAATAGCTATTCTTTTCTATAAGCTAGTCTTGTTCTTTAATTGCTTTTTTGGTTTTAGTTAAAGATTTAATATGATTCTCTAGCTCTTTTCTTTTAGCATATCAACTATACTCTTTTTGGCTTCTTTAAAATGGTTGCCCTTGGTTTACTATACATTTACAATGAATTCAAATGCTCTTTCAAACAGCACTACATTGGGGCTGGGGATTTAGCTCAGCGGCACAGCGCCTGCCTGGCAAGCGCAAGGTCGTGAGTTCAATTCCTGGTACTGGAAAAAAAAACAAACAAAAAAAAACCAAACAAGCAAACAACACTACATGAACTCATGAATAGTGCAGGTATCTTATAACAGTATTTTCAGTTCCTACCTCTTATTCCTTATAACGCTGCTACTATTCATTTCCATAAGCTATAATTACCATTGTACTTATCCATAAGCTATAATTATTGAATACAAGTTGCTATTATTTTAAACCATTTATTACCAGTTAGATCAATTAATTTTAAAAATGAATTATTTTACTTCCACTCTTTCTTTAATGTTCTTCCTTTTTTATGCAAATTCAAATATCTGAAATATATTAATTTTCTTCTGAAGAATTTAACATTTCTTGCAAAGCAGGTGTACTACCAACAAATTCCCTCTATTTTTGTTTATCTGAGGAAATTTTCTCTTTAAGTTTTGAAGGATAATTTCAGTGGATACAGAATTCTAGATTTATTTTCAACAGTTTAAATATTTCATTCCATTCCCTTTCTGCTTCCATGTTTTCTGAGGAGAAATGGGATGTAATTCTTGCTCCATGCTCCTCTATGTAGGTTTTTTTCCCCCTCTCTCTGTAGTTTCTTTCAGAAATTTCTCTTTTTTTTTTTAAGTTTTTTTTTTTTTTTATTTTAGAAATAAAAGGAAGAAAACATTAACAGACAGACAACCATTTACAAACTAGCAAAAGAACAGTACAAACAATACAGAGTTACAAAGTGGTAGGAGATTAACAATGCCTGTTGTATTACATATTGATATCTTCAAAGTGGTTTCTCAAGAAATTTCTCTTTGATTTCCTGCTGTTTGAATGATATGACTGGGTGTAGATTATTTTTTTCAGGCATTTTTTCCTGATTGGTAGTTGTAAACCTAAAATTAATTTAAATAAAATAAAAAATTCATTTCCCTGGTGGCACTAGGCACTACTTAGGCTAGTTCAGTAGCTACTTGTAGTTACTTCTACCACACTGGACAGCCATTCTCAACAGTAGAGGAAAATGGTCCAATCTTCCCTGTCTCTGTTCCCTCCACATCTCTGTCTCTGTTCATACCTCTCACTCCATACTACTGTGCCCCTTTTCTCTGCCCTTAGTTTACCTGTCTTTTTTTTTTTTTTTTTTTTTTGGTTTTTCTCTGGTACCAGGAACCGAACTCACGACCTTGTGCTTGCCAGGCAGGCACTTTGCCGCTGAGCTAAATCCCCAGCCCCTACCTGTCTGTCCTTTGGCGCTTTTCCCACTAGCTTAACTAAGATCCCCTGTACTTATAACACCTTATTTGGAGGGAAAGAAGAATCTGTTTCACTTCATTCTCTTTTATTCAAGAAACATGAACTGATCTTCTCACTGCCAAGACCTAATGTGGAGCTGCAATGTGTTTTGCAGACTAGATATCACATTTGGTGAAATAAAAAATGTTACTAAGACTTAATATAGTGTTGTCAACATTTTATTGTCAAGTAAGAAAATTAAAAACACAGACAACTGTTGCTGGTATCTCATCAACAACAGGACATCCTAACAACGTTTTCCTTTTTATCCCTAAAAGGAAGAAAGTAATTAAAACTTTGCCTCATTACGGGAGGGGTACTGGGGATGGAGTCCAGGGCCTCATATGTGCTGGGCAAACGCTCTCAGGGAGCCCTTTTTATTTTAAGATAGCATTCTTCCTAAATTTCCCACATTGGCATCGAGCTTGTGATCCTCCTGGCTCCGCATCCTCAGTGTCTCGGCTTGTAGGCAGGTGTCATTGCACCTGATAAGCTTTGCTCTTTTTTTTAATCTTCACTTAGGCCTGGAAGATAAAACTTTGTCTCTGATCTTCAGCAAAATAAAAGATATCTAGGAACCACTGCCCCACATAGATCCACATCTATGCTGAATTCTTTTTCTCTTTAGTTTCTTTGTTTTTATGACATTTCTTCCTCTTACATAAATGCTTCACTAGTTGTGTGACCTTGGGAAAGTTATTCAGTCTCTGTGACTTAATGTTTCGTGTCTTGTGAAGGTGCTGTTAGGGATTAAGTTAATTAACACACATACCTAGGACTGTAGCATATTCTAGAGTGTCAGGTCTGGGGTTAGGTTTGGGATACAGTTAAAGACTTCAAAGGAACAGAAGTGATATGAGATTGTTCAGAAATACAGTAGTCCCCCCCTTATCTGAGAGACATACATTTCAAGACCCCCGCTGGATACCTGAAACTGCAGATAATACAAACCATATGTATAACTGCCCTATATATACACACCTAAGATCAAGTTTAATGTATAAATTAGGCATATTAAGACATTAATAAAATAGGACAAATATAACAGTATAATAAAAGATAGGTGAGTGGAGTTTCTCAAAACGTACTATAGATCTTAGTAACTTCAGCATAAAAGGTTTTTACTTAATACAAGAAGTTTCACTTCTGGATTTAAGCACTTTATGGCTTTTCTGGCATATCCAAATTGCCAGTATCACTATGCTTGCACTCAGGGATTATTATTTTGGGTTTTTTTTTTGGTGGTGCTGGGCATCAAACCCAGGGCCTTGCACATGCAAGACAAGAGTTCTACCACTGAGCCACATCCTCAGCCCTCTGGGGTCACTATTAAGGTAAGGGTTACCCACAGGCAAGTGCTGCAATGCCTTTAACTGATCAGTGGGGCTGACGGGTAGGTAATGTGTACAACACAGACAACAGGATGATTCATGTGCTGGGCATTGTAGGGACAAGAGGGTCACAGGCAGGAAAAAGAAAATAGGATCTCATTAAGCTTTATTAAACAATTAAGTAGGAAATCTTGCTAAGGCAGCTTTTGCCTCTGGAGTTAAGACTCCAGCAATTAGACAAATGTAAAGAGAGAGAATCCAGACCTGAGAAGGCACCAGGTAACAGAGTTAACGTTAAGAATTTAGCAGGAAGAGGCTACAATCAAAACATGTAGCCAGGAAGATGAAAGACCGGGGTAACTAGCTCCACTCTTACCAGATAAGAAACGAGACAAGGGGCAGCCACCAAGGACTCTTATTTAATATATAAAAGACATACATACCTATACATACTTACATGTAGATTCTCACCGGATACACACAAGTCCTCTTACCATCTAACTGTTAAGCTCCTCTGCTGTGAGGATTCCCCTCCCCACACTTATCCATCACAAAAGGACATGAATGAAATGCCCAGAAGAATGTAGACAGAGGTACCCAGGCTGGGGGCACAGCCAGTCAGACTGTTAAAAATTCTAGGTGCCCAATGTGGGGCAGGGACGCAAGTCTTTATAAAATGTAGCTGAGGACAAAAACGCATGCGTATTTGTTTCTGATGTCCTCTAGTTTTTGAAAGTAGCTATCTTTGCCCTTTTCCAAGTTTGTCTTCCTTCATTTTAAACTCTGCCTCTTTAATTCATTACTGGTGCCGAATTTTACACTCCCAGTAGTTGCGTGTTCCAGCAGCACAGCAGTGTGGTGTGGACACCCCTCCCAAAGACGTGACAGGCATGACTGAGTGGGACAGCAGATTTCATCACACTACTCAGAACCACACAATTCACAATGTGAAGATTCTTTATTTTGGAACTTTATTAGTTTTGGACCATGGTTGACCATGAAGAACTGAAATCAAGAAAAGTGAAATGTATTAAGGTGGAATACTGTATAAAAAAAAAGACCCAGAAGCCTTCTGGCCTCCTACTTTCTATTCAGAATATGGCATTTTCCTTTTTTCGTTTTATTTCACAGGCCCTAGCTTTCATTCAAAATGAGAACCTGTCCAGAAAAGGGCTGGAAATAGTCAAACCTACGATGAAGAACAAAATGGGTGAAGCCTCTCTTAAGAACATGGGTACTAATGTAGCAAGGAGTCTTCAACTCAAAGGAGTTAGAAGCAGAAAATCTGAGAGGGGACCTGAGAATTCCCTACACACTGCATGGTCATCTCTCATGCTCCTTCCGATTGTCAAGGATCTCCTCTTCACATCTCAAATACAGCAGACCTTCGGGTGGACAACATTGAAAATGACCTCAAGTTTGCTTCTGTTTTTCCATATTTTATGACTGAATTTTTAAACACTGCAAAAAAAAAAAAAATCAGTTTTGTTGACTGTGAGGCCAAATGGGTTTAAATTATCTGTGCATACGGAAGGAAAGATTAAGGAATATCACTTTGTTGAAGGAATATATTCATACTTTGCCCCAGTTTCTTATTCCATCATATATTTTCTTTAGAACAGTGGTTTTAGCAGGGCATGGTGGCACATGCCTGAATCCCAGCACTTGGGAGAGTGAGGCAGGAGGATTACTGCAAGTTCCAGGCCAGCCTGGGCTACAAAGTGAGTTCAAGGCCAGCCTGAACTGCAAAAAACAAAATTTTTTTAAAAAAATTGTGTTTAGGCTCGTATGTTCAGGTTCATCTGCTTGCAGCTGACCAAATGAAAGGAGGCAATATACAGAATCTGCCAAAAACATGCAAACATCAGGAAAAGAGAACTTGTGTGTAAATATTTTAATACTACTTTTTTTTTTTTTGGTACTGGGAATTGAACTCATGACCTTGCACTTCCCAGGCAGGCGCTGTACCACTGAGCTATACCCCGGGCCCCAATACTACATTTTTGAGTCATCATGAGACTAATACAAATTACCTTTGGCCTCTACAATTACAAGAGGTGCTCACAGTGGTGGCCATTAGCTTCCAGACATGCACTAGTGTGGTGAACTGCTTAAGTGTGTTTTTTTTTTTTTTATTTTTTGGCGGGACTCTATTTGGAAGGAAATAAAGATTTACTCAAAGCTGGCTCCAAGGAGATGGAGGGGCCTATTTGCCTCTGATCATCATCACCATTTACAAGTGGGCAGGGGTCTTCTATAGTAAGGAACACAGGGGAGGAGGAGCACACAGAGACAGTGCAGATCTTCACGTTTGCTTTATCACCTCCAGCCATCTTCAGCTCATCTTCCTCTTGTGGAAAAGAAACCAGGCTCCTGGCCTCCTGGAGCTGGCATCTGTATACTCTATCAGTTCTTTTGGGCATAGAACTGCCAGTGTTAGTTAGCTATGTGCTCAGTAGGAGGAAGTTTGGAGAAACTGCTTATCTCTAAAAGAAAAAAAAAAAAAAAAAAAAAAAAACTAAAAGTTTCATTTTGCAGCATTCCATGTTACAGTTCCAAATTGGTGGTTCATGAGATGAGTGCAGCCTATATAAATGCCTTGTATGGCCTGTAGAATTAAAATTTTTTTTGAATATTGAGAAATGTTTACATTTAAAATATCTAGATTTTCACTTTCTCAAACGTTTTAAAATGTGACACCGGGCAGAAAACTGGCTCTGATAGCTGTTTCCTTTTTTTTTTGTTTGTTTTGCTGGTACTGGGGATTGTGTGTATGTGTGTGAGAGAGCGCCAGGATCTCACTCTGTAGTCCAGGCTGGTTTCGAACCCTCTGTAATCCTCCTGGGGACCGCCCAGGGTGGCCTTGAACATGAGATCCTTCCTCCTGAGTAGCTGGGGATTGCTGGCCTATGATTGTTTCCTTAAAAGTGTTAAGTTTTCCATTGGCGAACTCTCAGCACTCACAGAATGCCTGTTTATGTCTCCATAACTATGGGCATTTAAGCCTGCTGATATGAAGGAAATTTTCAACCTGAGACTCGCAGGCTACGACTCAGTGAATGGGAAGTTTCTCATGACTAAGGTGAAACTGACTGGGAGAGTCAACTTCCTCATCCATGAAATGGGCTGATAACGTGCAGTTGTGCAAAGGACTGGTGATCCGGTGTGCAGCCAAACACCGGCTCAGAAGGCACGATGAGCACCCACCTGGGGAGCGGGAAGCGCCGGCACCCCTCCCGCTCCGGCCTCCACACTCCGCCGAGTCAGCCCCGGGCGCCGAGAGGCGGGGCCGGCCCGTAGTATCGACCCTGCGGCGGCCATGGCCTCGGTGGTGGAGTACAAGGGCCTCAAGGCCGGCTACCACTGCGGCTACTGCGATTCCAGGGAGGGCAAGGCGTCCTGTGGTGAGTGTCCTGTGGACGAGGCCGCTGCGTCCGCCTAGCACTCAGCTCTCGCGGGCGTCAGCCACGTTCCGGCCGGGCCCTGCCGTGAGTGAGAGCGGTTCGGTCCCCCACTCCGACTGTCCCCTTTCCTACTCGTCTTTTCCTAACCAGTTTCCGTTCCAGCTCCTTTCACCCGTCCGCCCGCCCACCTTAGCCTCACTGAAGACGACTGCCCCTCTCCGAGAGGGAACGGAAATAGCGGAAAGCTGCCCTTAGTCAAGATGGCGCGCGCGGCGTCAGCTCCGAGAGGCGGCGGGCTGGGCCCGGCCTGGGAACGCCCGAGCGGCTTCGCGCGAGCCTGCGGGCGCCCGGGCGCCGCGCTGCATTGTGGGGTGGCGGCGGCCGCGGCGGTGTTGGGCCCGGCTGCTGAACCTAGGCGGGGCTGAAGCCATGGCTTCCTGGAACGCGCTTTCGCCCAGTATCGTAGAGTATTTCGAGGGCGAAGACTTCTACCGCTGCGGCTATTGCAAGAACGAGTCGGGCAGTCGCTCCAATGGTGAGCGAGCGGGTGGTGGGCGAGGCCGGGCGCGGTGGCCTGGAGTTTGTGTGGACCGGCTGGAGGGTCGCCGGGCGGCCGCAACCTCTGAGCTGCGCAGGCGAGGCCCCCCTCGGAGCGCGGTGGCTCCCGGCTTTAGACGGACCGGCGTTTGAGTCCGCAGGGGCGCTGGTCCCGCTGGTGGTGGAGGAACCCCCCGCGGGCGCTCGGACCCGCGCCGGAGGGATGGTCCGTGGCGTGCGCGAACGGACGCCCTCGGGCTCCCTGGCGGAGAGCGCGCGGTGCGGCCGAGGCGGACCTGCCTCCCGGGCGTGCGTGCGGGATGCGGGTGCGGGTGCGGGGCCGGCCGCGGTCTGGCGCTGCGTGTGCACAGGGAGGCATGAATGTGTGCGCCCTATGCGATAAAGTGTGCGTGGAGTAATATACGAGGCGCTAGTGGCCCTAGTCGCTGCCGGTCAGGTGGCCTTTTGCTCCTGATGTTTGACATTTCACCAAAGACTCGTGCTATGTTATTCTTGCAGCTCCCTCGGCACGACAACGGGGTCAGCCCACGGTTTTGTTTTTCTGTGACGCAGGTTTCTCTGGGAACATTTGTGGTTTGTAAACAAACTATCGCGTTTGTTTCCTGCCGAGTCATGCATTGGCAGATGTGCACTGTAGCATCTGTTACTTTAATGGAATAATCCAGCTTTGTGGAGAACAAGATAACCATGGAAATTAAGGGCTTCTTTCAATAAGTGGGGCATGGTTTAGACGATTATGGCATGCCCATTTATTCATTGCACGTGTTTGTTAGGTGCTCGGTCTGAAGTAGACAGTTACAGGCAACGGTCTGAAGTAGTTACGCAATCATTTGAAGTGCCGCTAATGTATACCAGCTAAGTGACAAATGCTTAGAGCATTTACATGGATGGTTAAAAGTGAAGCAGACAGGATGCCAAAGGCATGTGCGACATGATTGGAGTTGAGCGGAGTGAAGCCTAGGCGAAGCATGCCAAATAGTGGCTGGCAGAGGTTGCCTTGGAGTGAAATAGGTTCCATCCTTCTCTTTTTTCATAGTTTCTGTATTGTGACTATGAAATCTCTATAATCAACGAGTTGCATGAAACATGTCTAAAATTAACATTTTAATAGGTCTTTAATAGTTTTGTTCAATAATTTTAATAAGAGAAAATTACCTAATATAAAGTCAGCCTTTCAAGTTTTCAAGGAGAAACCTGTTTTGAATCTTTTCATCTAGGGAAATAGGTCTACGTTTCTATCATTTTGATTTCCATTCTGATAGTCTTTATTATAGGACACCCATCTATTCGTTAGTTGACTTATTATTTCTATTACAGATGGTGAAATTGAAGCTTGTAATTTGTTGGTATCCATCAGTGCTTTCCAGGTGTCTGGGTGTTTCTTTGGACTCTACTACCATGCCTTCTCCCGATGTATTCAATTCTGCCAGGCCTTTCTATATCTCTACATATCTCTAATACAGTTTACTAATTACAAAGGGTGAAAATTCATTTCTGTTTTTAACATTGGTTCACATATGGTAAATGTTAATTCTTGTAGTCTTTTTCTTCCCCTGTAGTTAAGTAATTTTTCCATCATATAGTGCTTGTAGTTCTGCATTTTCTTGTATCCTTGATTTTTGGGTCACTTTGTTTTTCGCTTAGAAAGAATACGACTGTATACTTTTGTCCTATTTTTAGTGTTCATGTATATATATGTTTATAAATTAGAGCTAATATACACCAACAAATTTGCTTTCTAATTCTTCCGATGAGACCAGTGAATTAGTGGAGTTATTATTAAAGTTTGAAGATGAGATGCAATTTCATTACAATGAGGATCTAGATTTTTGATATCATAGACTGTTGACTGATAATTAGATGTTATTTTATATATTTGATTTTTTGATTTAAAATAAGTATATTTTATTTTTCATTGGTGTTGTATGCCAAATTAACAAATGCGAAGTGTGCAAACTTTCTACAATGTGAGCGTTTTACTAGAATTTTAGCCTACACATCCATATTACCAAAACAGACACTTTGAATTTTAAAACAGAAGTGAGTTCAACCTGTTGTAATTAACACACTCCATTTTTTCAGGCATGTGGGCACATTCCATGACAGTACAGGATTATCAGGATCTTATAGATCGAGGATGGCGAAGGTAATAAAATTCTTTAATTCGAAGATACTTTCTGCTATTCAGGTTCTTATAATCGAGAAATAGAGTTTGGGTTTGAAATGTTTTCCTGTGGGATGCGGTGGCACACACCTGTAATCCAGCACTTGGGAGTCTGAGGCAGGAGGATCATCACAAGTTGGAAGTCAGTCTGGACTACATAGTGAGTTCAAGGCCAGCCTGAACTGTATATAGCAAGACCCTACCTCACCCTCCCTGTAAAAAAAGTTAAAATTTTTTCTAAATTTAATAAAGAGGCTCAGAAAGTCAGATGTTAAAGAATTTAGTATGCCATGATAAGGAAATTTTTATTTTTTGTTTTTATGGTAGAAGGGAACTATTGAAAAATTTATGAAAGAGTGAAATGTGATAGGATTTGTTATGGAAAAAAATCACTCAGTCAACAGAGAGGTATTTGAGGGGTGATCATCGAGGCAGGAAGAGGAGTGCGAGAGATTATCAAGCTATACAGATATGAAATGATGAGGACTGGCGTCTTAGTGGCAATGATGATACAGAGGAGGGGACAAATTTAAAATACATTTTAGGTGTGGAAAGCTGGCTGATAGGGCATAGAGGGAATAGTCTAAACTGACTGGTTTGACGGGGGCGTGAATGGTTCTGGTTCTGCTGATAACTGAGGTCTGGAATGCTTGGAAAGAATCAGGTTAGTTTTGTGGTACAGTACTTTGCTGGCACATGTACAACACCCAGGTGTGTCTGTCACAGCTCCAGTGTATGTGGGTTAGTCCCACAGAATCATGCGGACCGCACTTGCATGGGCCTTGTGATATTGGTGACAGCTGAAGGCTTTGCAGGGTTTGCAGATTTGGTGAGAAGGCATCGAGATTAACCTTGTAGTTCGTGTTTAAAGTTTAGGAAAGAAAAGACTGGGTTCCGGTCTTTGTGTACCTACCTGTAAGATTATTTAGGCTATGAAGAGCAGTTAAATCTAAGTGTATTTTGACACTGTTGATTAGATTTTTATCCTTAATTTAGTGACCCTTTACTGATCTGCTTTGGTACATGTGTAAAGTGTGTAAAAAATTAACAAACTATTTTTACTATTTTAGAAGTGGGAAGTATGTGTACAAGCCTGTCATGAATCAAACCTGCTGTCCTCAGTATACAATAAGGTAAGACTAAATAATACAAAGAGGATCTATGATATGAAGAATATGTGCAATTTTAAAGCAGATTGTTACACTTCTTAGTGTTAATTTTTATTTTAGGTAGATATTCTTCATAAGAAAATGAAGATCTTCTGTGTACTGATGAATTTGCTGTGTACTGATGAATTTGCTGTGTACTGATGCTATATTCACATGCTGATCAGTAGCTTTATGTCGCTTATTACACAGACAATACAGTTACAGAATAGCTTTGTTGTCCTCATTTAGCTTTCATGGTTCAGAAGAGATGATATCCTTTAAAACAGAAGTCATTTTCTTTTAACTAGCAATTCATTAGATTATGGACAAGATTCTGCTCAAATAAGCTTGAAGTTGGTTGACTGGAAACTTAGAATTTTTATAATCAGAGAATATTGATTTTCCCCAATGTGGTGATTCATGACTGTAATCCCAGCTACTCAAAAGGCTTATACTGGAGGATTGAAATTTTGAGGCTAGACTAGGCCACTTAGTGAGACCCTGTCTTTAAAAAAAAAAAAGTGAATGAGGGTTTGGGGTTGTAGCTTAGTGGTAGAGCACTTGCCTAGCATTCGCAAAGCCCTGAGTTTAAAACCTACCACTGAGTTGGGGGCTTATTTCAGTTGGTTAAGTAAAATACACTTTGTATATGTTATATGTAAATCACTTTTCCGGGTATATTGCTTTTTATGGGAAGAGATTGAACTATCACTGCAGTAGAATCAAACATTTCCTGAGTTGTTATCCTTTACAGTTTCTCTCTCTATATAAATCAATCTTATGGGGTCATTTTCCATGTTTATTCTTCTGCTTGTTCACTATAGTAGTTATAATAAGAACTTTTAAAGAAATGGAGGCAGTATCATACAATTTAGCTTCTTACTGGGCAGAAGTTAGGGGCTTCCCAGCATATGAGTATACTTTCCTGGCTATGATTTAAAAAAAAAAAAATTAAATTTTGTCAGAATTGTGTATGTTCATAAAGTGCCAAATAGTTCTATAAAACTCATTTTGGAATTTAAGTGTCTCTGAAAATCTTCTTTCCTATTCTCATTGGCAGTTACCTTCAAGTCTTTTGACCTTTTTTTTTTTTTTGCAATACTGGGAATTCAACTGGGGGCCTTTTACTACTGAGCTACATCTTCAGCTCCCTTTTAAAAAATTTTATCTTGAGACAGGATCTTGCTACATTGCCCAAGCTGACTTTAAACTTGCAAATCTTCTGTCTCAGCCTCTGTGTAGCTGGATCCGTTAATTAGATCTTAACAGAGAAACCAGACCTGAAACATATAAGCTTTTTTGCATATCTCATTGGTTCAGGGATTCCAGTCACACAGTACTGCTTTAAATTGCCATTTGCACAGGCCCAAGCAGCTTTGTGGAAAGGAGTGAGTTTCCTCCTCTTCCTAGAAAGTGGCTCACTACCATGGACAGTGCTGATGGACCCGCCTAGTGACAATCAGCAGTGTTGGCTGTAACTTCTTGACTGGTGTGGTTGAAATGTAATTGTAGAGGAGTAAAGAGCTCCTGTGGTACCCAGCAGTTCTGGGAGAGAAAATGGAGCAGAAGAGACTGCACCAGTTGTGGAGAGGACATAATACAGTTGCTGTGTGGGACCTGTCCTCAGCATAAAGAATGGCCTTGTTGGATTGAAGATACACCTGCAGAAAAAGTGCTGGTGTAAACACGTGTTCCAGTCCCAGCCACCCTTGTTAAATTTGCCTAGGATGAGCGTGCTTTGCTACTGAAGAGAAATCTGACCAGTGGTGCAGGTCTTAGACCTGTCAAGACCATGGGTCTGTAAGGGCTGATCGGGTCACCCCTGCCTGCCCAATTCCAGGTCCCCACTGCCTGTTTGGTGACACGTTGAGCTTTTTATGTCCTCTTTTGTTTCCTAAAGTTACAGGAGAAAAATGGTATGCAACTATTTCAAGAGGTAGGGAGTGGGTCAGTCAGTTGATTTGTAAAGGCAACTATATGTAGAGGACAAACCTAGGTCCTATAACACGCATAGCCATCCAACTTGAGGGCTTGGCTTCTCGTTACTACACTGACTTTACCTTCAAACTCAGGACTTCTGCCAATTCTGGTTGCTCTTAAACTCTGAAAAGCTCGTCTTCATACTACTTTTCTCACCCACCTCTGCCCCAGACTAGTGGGATTTGATGTCAAGGGTAGACATTTTTTGGATTTTTGCCAGAGTGAGCAGACTAGGAAAACTACCAGTTTCCCTCCGTTTTTTACTCCAGAGCCTCCTAAGTGATCATACTGAAATGGTAGGGACAAACTGGAGTATAGTCACCCTGTGCCTTAGCTATATCCTTTCAGGTACATATCTTGCCCCTCTCTTAGCTAGAATATTGTGGGATTTAACCACCTGGCTTGGAATATTAGAGATATTTTCTTTATAAAACTTCAAGGCTGGCCATAAACTACTCATGCAGTTCGGGGAAGAGGCGGCATTAAGGGTTGCAAATGGAGCTAGACATGGTGGTACATGCCTGTGATGTCTTGGAGGAAGATTGTAAGTTCAAGCCCAACCTGGACAATTTAGAAATTTAGTGAGACCTTCTCTCCAAAAAAAAAAAAAAAAAGGTTTCACATGGCTTGTGGTGCTGCTGTTAGGGTTTGGGAGATGGTTTCCTGAGAGATGTTTTTGTTTTTTTGGTCCTTGGAGCTAGTCACTGGGCTTTGCAATGACTTTGTATTGTGTCTTCAGACCACTGGTACCACAGGAGAGGAAAGCAGAGGCAGCATCTCTGATGAGTGTAGAGCAGCAGTGATGACTCCAGCAGAGACTGTGTCAGGTCCTCATAGGAAGGGAGAAATAAGCCAGGACCCACCTTATCATCTCTCTGAACCAAAATAGAGGCTTGCTGTTTGATGGCTTGCATTCAGATCTTCTGTTTTCCTTCTACAAGCCCAGACAATATTGGATGGTTCTTGTAATAGTCCTGTTAGGTGGCAAATCTGAAGGGGAAGCCAATAAGATGTTCTGTAAGTGGCAAGGGTGGACTGGGGTAGGGGCAGACTGCTGTAGGGGCCACACAGCACATTGCCAAGGCCTGGAGGGTTGGGAGAAGGTTGGGTTGGCTTTCTAGCCAGTTCTCATGAATGGAAGCTCATCTTTTCTGGTGCCACCAGTATGAGTTCACAGTTTTTTCCTTACAAGTGGTACTTTAGAAATTTCATGAGCTTACCTCACCTCCAGTACACTTGGGGATCTTGAATTTGAAATCAAGATTGTAGTACCTGACACCCTTCCCACCCTACATCTTGAATGCAGACCCAGTGCTGCCCTTTGAGAGTCAATTTGAGTGGTCTCTAGCACACACTAGAGTGGGCAGGTTCATAATGAAACCCATGACATTAGTCATAGCAGTGACATTGAGATCCCTCTGCTTGTCCCACCCAGTGACTTCATCACCTTTGGTCTGAAGTGCTGCCATGATGACATGCACATCATAGTTCCTGTTTCTCAGCATTCTTTTTCTTGTGGGGTGTCACCAGACCACCTCTGGAAAATCTCTTGCAGTGTTGTTTGCATGAAGGCATTAGTGTCCTGGATGACATGATTATGGGCATTGGGGGCACGAAGTTCTCTATACTGCTTCTCATGGTGGATTTGTGTTCATGCTGCCTGGGGCAGCTCCAAAGATTCAGATTTAGTTGGCCTTTCCCCCCTTTTAAAACACCTCTTATTTTTCATTTTAGATTCCAGAGAGGGCTGAAAGTACCCCAGTCTTCCATCCTGTAGAAGATGTAAGCTTCTCCATCTTCTCAGGATATCTGAGGTCTACCTTATTCTCTGGTGTCCATGATTTATGCTGTGTCATTGGCGGGGCAGAAGGGTGGAGTCAAAAGGGGAAAAAAATCTACCTTTTGTCTCTTCTCAAAGGAAAAATAACTTGGATTAGTTTATTTTACCACTGTTATCAAGAACAAGATTTTTAAAAACTCAACATGTAAGATCTTGTTGGCTTTCCCCCATTCTCCTTCAAATAGGATCGGTCACATTGCAGTTTTTCTTCTAATTCTTTCCAGTCATGATATCACTGACAAGGCCTAGGTGATAGATAAAGCACACGGCACAATTCCTCCAGCTGTGGGATTGTAGGTGCACGTGGCCTCTCGGGCAGCCCTTCATCCTTTGGGTATAGCAGTCAGGCAGGTGCTGCACCTTGGGAAGCACAGAGACTCATCCTATCACCATGGATGCAGGCTCCCTGCCCTGTGGGGGGCAGCTTGCTGTGGCTGCCTGTGAAGGGTTGCTGGTCCTGCTGGTTGCTGCCTGGGCTGAGTGTGTATTGGCATGTGCCCTCCTTCCCTCCCTCCCTCTCCCTCCCTTTTTCTTTTCCTTTTTATCCTCCCTTACTACTTATCTGTCTCACTCCTGTTTCCTCTGTTGCATTTAGGCTCCTTTATAGCGTCATCCCCAACTTCTCTTAGAAATATTGCGATTTTCTGTAGATGTATTCACAGTCTGTGAATATTCACACTGTGTAAATGTGCTTTATAGCTGAGCTGTATCATAGCCTATGATTTCATTTCTTGCACAATTGTTTGCTTTACCTGGAAGTTAATAATTGTCTTGTTGTTTTTATAGTCTTCTGTGTACCTAACCCCATTTATTTTGAAGTTCTCTTCAAGTTATATAAGTTTTCTTTTAGTATGTTTAGCTGTGTCTTTTTTCTGACACTCACAGAGCCTTCTGACCTGCTCTGGTATGGACACTTTGTCCTCTATACTGTAATCGTAGGAGCTCTTTTTATTTTCTTTGCGACGCTCTTTGGTTTTCAAGTTGGATATCATCTATCTTGGATTGTTCCCTTGTTTTAGGGAAGCCCATCTTCTGATAGACTCCTGAAAAAAAGTACATGAGATCTCTTCTCTTCTCTTCTCTTCTCTTCTCTTCTCTTTTCTTCTCTTCTCTTCTCTTCTCTCTCCTTTCTCTCTCTCTTTCTCTCTTTCAAGACAGGGTCTCACTATGTAGTTCTGGCTGGCCTTGGACTCAATGTGTAGCCTGGTCTGACCTCAAACTCAAGATGATCCTCCTGCCTCAGCCTCCTGAGTGCTGGGATTATAGATGTGTGCCATCATGCCTGGCAAGATTTCGCATTTTTGAGACTATGTCTGAAAATGTTTTAATTAACTGCACAAATGTAGTTTATAGTTTAGTTGGATATACAAATATTAAGTTGGGAATAATTTTCCCCTAGAATTCTGAAGGCTTAGCTCCATTGTTGTTTTACTGTTGTTGAGAAATCAGATTCTGCCAGAAGTCAGGCATTCTGATTCTTATTTCATTATCTGAAATGTGTTCTTTCTCAGGACTGGGGTTATAATTTTTTGTATTAGTCACTTGTCCATTGCTGGGACAAATACCTGATACCCACAACTTACAGGAGGAGAGGTTTATTTTAGCTTATAGTTTCAGAGGTGTCTCCATCCATGCATGCATGGTTGGCTGGCTCCAAGGCAGAACCTGCATGGCGGAACAGAACTGCTCAACCCATGGCAAGTAGGAGTCAGAGAGGAGGGAGAAGTGGGGGACAAGAATACACTCTCCCAGGACAAGCCTCCAGGGAGTGGCCATTCACCAGACCCCGCCTCCTAACAGTACTTTTAGCCATGAACTCACTGAGTTAATCTGATGAGCAGTGTGCCTATGGCCCAGTCACCTTTCAGAAGCCTGACCTCTGGACGTGGGACTTTGGGGGGCATTTTAACTCCAGAGTGTAACACTGTGTAGCCCTGTGGTAGAGTGCTTGCTTTTCTTCTGATACTTTTATTCAGATATTTGATCTTTTCAACTTGTCCTCTAGTTTTTTTTCCTTTCAGTTTTCCATCTTTTTACTGAATCTTCTGGGAAGTGTCCTTGTTTTCTAAATTTCCCACTTAATTTTTTATATCATCTGTCAATCTTCTGAGGGGCATTTTTGTGGGGGTGCTTCCTGTGTGTGTGTGTGTTATATGTAAAGATACGTATTTTTCTGAGGATTTTTTTAAAAGCTCTCCTCCAAATTATTTCCTTCATTTTGTTTGGAACTTGTTTGTAGGAAGTTGACCCTCTTCAGGTATCTAGTAATTCCAACTTTTCAGTGTTCCACTGGAAATTCTGGGTACCCAACTGTGCCTTACTATCTGTGAGCTTTGGGTAGGGTGATCTGGGTGGGCTACTCTGTTGGAAAATCTGTGGTGTCTGTATTTTTAGGTTTCATCACATTTTTAAAAAAAAATTTTTATTTAAAAAATTTTTTTTGGTACCGGGAATCAAACTCAGGACCTTGCGCTTGCCAGGCAGGTGCTGGTGCCGCTAAGCTATATCCCTGGCTGGATTCATCACATTTTGAAGAGAAAGAATACGCTGCTGATGTTCTGGAGCTGGGTTGGGAATCTTGGCATTTAGAATGTAAATATCATCTCTTCCTGTTTTTAGTATAGCACATTTGCTGTGTAAGAGGCCTTATGTTTTGCTTTTTACTGAAAGGGGGATTATGTAGAGTCAAATGAAGAATAAAGTCAGAGTGAAGAGAGATCTGACATCTGACTGCTTTGAAATAGGCATTAAAAGGTTCCTATTTTTATACCCACTTTCACTTGTATTTTCAGAGGTATCAGGTATTACTAATCCCTAAAAATTTTAGGGTAAATGTAAAGAAAATTGGATATCTTACAGGCTTTTCCTCTGTTAGCTTATTAAGATTCAACTTTCTTTGGTCAACTAAGTCAGTTACCAGTTGTATATCTGCTTTCCAGCTACAAACATTTCTCCTTTCCTTTATCCTATGGTTTATGTGATTTTATTTATTTTTTAAAAATCCCTTACTGGTAGTTTTAGTGAAATTTAGAGTAGTATTAGAGGCTACTCTTTTAATGCCTCACCTTTAACTAGGAATCCCAAGCATGAAATTTGCCTCAGTCTACCAAATCTTACCCAGAACTGACTTTATTTTGTCAAAGTTTTTTTTGTTTACTTTTAAAATACTTACTTTGCTTTCCTAGGTGCCGACCTTTACAGTTTCAACCATCAAAATCACACAAGAAAGTTTTAAAAAAAATGTTGAAATTTCTGGCCAAAGGGGAGATTTTCAGAAGAAATTATGAGGGTAAGATAAGATTGGGTCTATTTTTTTTTCGATTTTGTTTTTGTTTTTTGTTTTTTTCTGGTACCCGGAGTCAAACTCACAACCTTGCGCTTGCCAGGCAGGCGCTGTGCCGCTGAGCTAAATCCCCAGCCCCTGAGGTTGGGTCTAAAAGCTACTTTAAATGGATGAATCTTTCCAAGGTTCTTACTTTCAAGCATCTCATGTTAGGTGGGGGGAAGGGGTTGTGTACCACTCCCGTGGTGACGAAGACCACTATTAGCACTAACGTTACCATTATGACTGGCTTCACAAATCAGGCTTATAGGAAATCCTGTATATGCCAGAATAGTCTAATTTGAAAAGAAAATTGAAGATCATTTCAAAGATGTGATTTCTTGGAGTTTATTAGAATTTTCCTTTTCTTTGCTAGTAATATATAATTTTTTGGTGTCCAGGAGGCATGTCCTAATTTGTTAATATGCAGGTAAACTTCAAGGATGCTGTAAATTGATGATTTTGTAAGCATCAAAATTCATAGTTTTCTGTCTTTTAATGTTTTCACATTTGGTTATTTGGTTTATTATGGATTTCTTTGATATGTGGGCTTCTGAATTATTCGTGTCTGATAATTAACTAGGGTAAAGGCTTAAACAGCTGTGAGAAAGAACCACCAATTCCAAGGACTGAATAGTATTAGCAGTTCCTTTCTGTCCTCACCTGACAGCCCAGTGTGCATGTTTCAGGTGGGCGTGCAGCTTTGCTTCCTCTGTGGCTCCGCTCAACATATTATTTCCAGTATCACTCTTGTTTTTTCTTGATGCAGCCAGTGGGGAGCAGAATGCTTGGAAGTTCTAGGTCACAATTTTCCTTTAAATAAGTAAGACAAAATTAGACATATCAACTGTCTAATGCGCCATGGTTGGGAGCTTAGTCTCAACTTGCAAAGGGACTGGTGGTACATTTCCCTGCTAGGCTGCCACAGTTTTAAGTTTGGCTCTCTTCCTTTGAAAGGTGAGAAAATAAACTCAGTTGCTACACAGTAGTCCTTGCTACAGTGGATAATGGGGGCCTTATATAGTCTGGTATTTATCTTGACTGTGTCAAATGACCTGGCTGATGGGCTTTTTGCTTCTGATTTGTAGATGAGCCTATGGATTCCACAATGGAAGATGCTGTTGCGGGTGACTTTGCATTAATAAATAAATTGGATATCAAGTGTGATCTTAAAAGACTCAGCAGTGATCTCAAGGAGAGTTTAGAGAGTGAAGAGAAGAAGAAAGAAAAACACTCAAAGAAAGAACCATGTAATGAATTAACTCATTCACAAGCTATAGAAGAGAAGTTGGGCTCTGGTGAACCATCACACTCAATTAAAGTTCATACGGTTCCTAAACCAGGTAGTGCACATTTGATAGCAAGTCATATTAGCTGCTTTTCTGTTTTCTTTTTTTAAAATTATTTTAAAGAGAATTGTAAGAACATGGAAGAGTAAATAAAACCCAAAATGTGCAGTAGATAATATGAAAGGGAAAGAAATTGCTCTTTTTGCTTATGTTATTGTAACCCCTGGTCCCTGCTGTCATCTAAAAACATGACTTATCTGTAACATCTGTAAGGTAGAGTCCTGTTTTATACAAGATACTGTTACCTGGATTTAGATGGACAAATTATATTTTTTTTAAACTACACTTAAAAAACCTAATATAATAGCTTTATCACCTCAAATACATTTTCTTTTTGTTGAGATAGGGTCTTGCTATGTAGTTCAGGCTAGCTCTGAACTCATTATGTAGCCCAGGCTGGCCTTAAACTCGCCATAATCCTCTTGGGCGAGCCTCCCAAGTGCTGGGATTACAGGTGTGTACCACCACGCCCCTCCCCAGATACATTTTAAGAGTTCCATCTCAACTTATTACCTGAGAGCCTTAAAGGTTTGAGAATCACATTTTTTGTCATTGGAAGGTTTGGTGATAAACATTGCTATTTTTGGCATTATAAGACGGTATAAATTATAGGTATTATGTCCAAAATACAGTAGTTGTGAAATTCTTCAGTTTATCATTAAATTTTATGTAATTATAATAAATTTTAACTTAAAAGTATCTAGATTTAATGTTTGACTTCATCTTAATAGGGTAAAAAATTTCGCCTACATTCTCCCTTATAAAAGAATTAGGATTAAAAACATGCTCAACATTGTGGGTTTACCATATAAACTGTATGTATATGATTTTTGTTTTCAAAATTACTGCATAAAATGTGAAGTTGGACAATGTATTTATTTATTTTAGTTGGACAGTTTTTGCATTAGTTTTTATGTTATTAATTTGAAATGATCAAAGGAAGATTTTTAGTAGTTTTTATTGTCTAAACTATATTACACAAGTTAAAGTGCAGAAAACTTTGTACTTCTGTTAAATTTGTACAGAAGGATTTAATGGTATTTAAATTGATGTTAGTCTGAAATTTTTTCCTAATTAATACTAATACTTGAATGAAGTACTATGATTTAGAGAATATCTGCTTTTATTCTCATGTTTTTTACTTTTTATTCTAAAAATTAGTTATAGTTTGTTAAATTAAAAACTTTGTTGAAAAGAATTTGAAATATAGGGGAGCTAGATTCAGTAGTATAATGACTTTTATCTACCCTGCCCTCATTTGAAACATTTAATCACGATAGCCGCTTTTGATGTATCTGTACTCAAATCTAGTTCTTTCTTTCAGTAGTATATTTAAGCAATTTCTTGACATTATGCCATCCTATATTTCAAATTCATCTCTAAAAAATAAGAACTTTGAAAAACATACTCACAACACCATTATATACCTGAATAAAATTTCTTTTGGCGGGGTGGGGGAAGACAGGGTCTTGCTAAATCAGGCTGGCCTTGAACTCACTATGTAACCTAGGCTGGTCTTGAACTCACTGTTATCCTCCTGGGTGCTGCAATTACAGGTGTGCACCACCACGCCCAGCCTATAGAATTTCTTAATACTATTGAATATTTAGTGTTAAAATGCCAGTTTTTAAAGATTGTCTTGTGTCAAGATCTAGAGAATCTAGAAAATTGGTTGATATATTTAAAAAATTTTTTTGTTCTATACATTTCCCTTTCATTTTTCGCCATTTTTTTACTTGGATAGTATTACTTGTTGAAAGAAGTGAGTTGTTTGTCTTGGTTTTTGTCTTCCTTCTGTAGCTGGCTGATTACATCTGCAGTACAGTTTAACCTGTTCTGCTTATCTGTAAGTTGATACTTAAATGTAGAGCCTTTGATCAAAA